CCAGGGGGTCCCCTTCGAAAAATGTGAAAATGCATGGTTGAACATTTTGGCCCCAAGTGAAGGCCATATCTTTGCCAATATTGCTCCGATCCTTGAGGGGAATACCTTAAACGATTTGTAGATCTATTCTCCACTAATCTGCATTGAAATCCCACAACACATTTTTGAATAGATTTTTTTTCAATTTTTCCAGGGTCCCCTTCAAAAAATGTGAAAATGCATGGTTGAACATTTTGGCCCCAAGTGAAGGCTATATCTTTGCCAATATTGCTCCGATCCTTGAGCGGAATACCTTAAACGATTTGTAGATCTATTCTCCACCAATTTGCATTGAAATCCCACAACAAATTTTTGGATCGATTTTTTTCAATTTTTCCAGGGTCCCCTTCAAAAAATGTGAAAATGCATGGTTGAACATTTTGGCCCCAAGTGAAGGCTATATCTTTGCCAATATTGCTCCGATCCTTGAGCGGAATACCTTAAACGATTTGTAGATCTATTCTCCACCAATCTGCATTGAAATCCCACAACAAATTTTTGGATCGATTTTTTTCAATTTTTCCAGGGTCACCTTCAAAAAATGTGAAAATGCATGGTTCAATATTTTCGCCCCAAGCGAAGGCCATATCTTTGCCAATACTCCTCCGATCCTTGAGCGGAATACCTTAAACGATTTTTAATTGGTAGACGACAGACGAAAAAGATTTATTCTAAAAGATTTGTATTAATTGTTTGATAATCTACTTCAAAATAAATAAACTAACCATCTGTTATGTGCTACATAACAGTAGGGGTATAGTATATGTATGTATGTATAATCTCTTTGAATTATTGCTGTGAAAAATTAATCCTCTCAATAGTGTTATAGAAATAAATAAATGCATTTTTAAGTAAATAAATCAAAGCTAAACGCTTTATAAATAGTATGGAGCAAAAGGTAATTAAATTCACGAATCTTTGTGTTAATCCCGCTTAACTACATTTGTGTTTGGATTGTTTTTAAACTAACACAATCTGTCATGACACTTTTAATCCAGATTCATATGTCTTTTAATATAGTGTTTGGATTAAATTTTTTGTTTATGAAAATAAATCAAAGGAATATGCATATGTGTGTCCAATATTTTAGTCAGTTTCTCTTTGAAAACAAATCGCCTTGTCGAGGAAATGAAAATGGTTATTAATATTATTTATTCCTAGCCTTATCAAAATGCATGAATGCAGGAACTGAAATTAAATACTCGAAAATTAAACAGCCACAAATCACTGGATGGAGCAGCATCTTTGCCAGACAACTCGCCGACTGCCGTAATTATCCCCATCCAGTCGAGAGGTGGGTGCATCGGACAGATATAACCCCGGCTCCTGGCCATTCATCCGCACCTGAGCCCCGAGAATCCGGAGAGTCCGGAGAGAGTCCGGAGATCCTGGGCCGGAAACACATTGCACAAGCCCCCCTCCACATCGTCCTGGCCAGGAGAGAACTGCACTGGACGGGACTATCCATGGCATTGGTAACAATTTCAATATTTCCACCGACAAATAAACAGCAAATGTAAATGCAAAATTCCGAAAGCAACAATAACGACTGCCTGCTGCTGCTGGCTGTGCAAAAAGGAAATTTATGCATATTTAATAACAACATAGGAACAGGAAGGGAGAACCGGGAGTAGACCAGGGGGCTGGGAGTTAGGGGAACTGGAGCAGAAACAGGAACAAGGATATGGAGACGCCGACTATGACGATGACGACGACGACGACCGGCTACAAAATACAAGGAATTTCTCACGCATAAATGCACCCAACGAGATGAAAGAGATTCTCCTAGAAAGAGTTGGGTATAGGGGGCCTAGAAAGAGAAGGCTATAGCGTCCCAGAAAGAGGGGGGTATGTGTGAGGTAGATGAAACATTTTTGCAAGCAAAATAGTTTTATAAAATAGTTGATTCTTCCAAAAAAAAAAAAAAACCATCTTGATGGAACCGAAGCGAGAACATATTGCCCAAGTGGGCGTAGCAAGAGGATGGGCGTGGCAGAGTCAGCGAACTGGACGCTAATCAAACTTTTTAATATGCCATGCATGCAACGTGTGGCGACTTTTGTTTTGACACACCAGAGAGTGGCAGAGTGGCAAGTCGAGGCGAGGCATTATGTGATATATGTATGTGGTATCTATCATATGTGCATAATGCCCACCGAGTTATTAGATATCACATATGGGGCAGAGACCCCAAAGAGGGCAGAGGGGTGGCTGAGCCAGGGGCAGCCACAAATTCAGTTCGTGTGCCTTGGCTCCATCTGGATTTTATGTGCTCATCTTGCTATGCTAAGATATACTTGAAGAAAACATCTTTAGGATCTGTAAGAAAATATCTTGAAATTAAAGGTTAAACAATTCCTTTAATTTACCAACTTTATCTAGAACTAGTTTTCTTTATTTTTACTGTTAGAAACCTCTTTTTTAAACCCCCTATTATTGTCTATTTTTTTCAGTGCTCATATCAAGATAGGATATCCAGTGAATCCACCGAGAGATATGTGCACTATTCAGGGAATAATGACAAAGCAACTGCCTCCACGGCGGAGCAAGATGAAATGTGTGCTTTATGGGAGGTCAGCTAAAAATGCATCATCATGAAATGAAATCAAGTGCATTTATTTAGCCCACACATGGGGGATGGGGTATTAAAAAAAAGCTCCACACCCCCTTCTTCTCCGCCTGCCATGAGGGGGTGTGGCAAGATGAATGATGTAGGCAGCCGGCCGCCGTATGTTACACAGTTTCGACTTCCATTTAGTTGCAAGTTTAAATACATACGGGACGGGCCGAAAAACGTTTGGCCATTGTTCGAGTAGAGTTCAGAGGGGGTCAGAGGTAAGAGGTGAGTGAGTGGTGCAGTATTTTTATTTTATGAATTCCGCCCACCAAAAGGAACTTTCAATGGCTGCCGAGAAGACTTTATGGCTGATGGATGGAACGTTTTAAAGAAGTGAAATGTGGCTTAGAGCCCTGAGCAGGTCGGTAGCAGAAAATTGAATAAGGGCCGAAACTAAAGAGTGGCTAAAATGTGAAAGAATTTACTCAAAGGCTTTTTACAAAATAGTTTAAAAGTTTCTCTTGAGAAAACTTTCCACTGCCTTCTCATTTAGATCATGACATATTAAATCTTTAATCAAAAATAATATACCTCCAGGTAATATATTCACACATTTTCGTATAAATATTTCAAACATGGAACCGAGTTTGTAAACAAAATATTTGCCAAAACCAAAATAAAACAATTTCCTAAATATGAAAGACATGTGTGAGCCATAAAATGCTTGTCTCTGGACCGAAAAATAGTACATTTTTCAGATTTTTTGATGTTCTGAGAAACATTTGCGGAATATTATGACAGAACGGAGAACTGCTGCTAGCTGGAGGAGGTGGAACAAAGGCAAAATGGTACAAAATAGTGCAAAACAAGTGGCACATTCAGACATACAGTAATAAATGAAACAAATTAATTAAAAGTGTGCAACGGGTCGGCTACAAAACAAATGAAATGCGAATCAAAATGGAAAAGTTCCTGAATGCACTCTCTCTCTCACTGTTAGTGCCTTTATTTTCCTATTTTCGTATTGTTTTATTTTTGTTCTACTGCTACTGTTGCTTTCTAGAGAGGCATGATAAATTATGCAGCCATCACCTTATTTAAAATGAAGATTAATTTAAGTACTGCCAAATGGTGTTGTTTCGCTTTGCAGGCAAACATTTTGCTTTTTTCCGCTTGAGAAATTGCTGTTGTGTCGAGAATGTGGGATTTGCCAAAGAATTGTTCACGAGAGCAGGATTACGAGTAAATGCAAATGAGATAAATGAATTCGTATTCAAGGACTTGCTGCAGAGAGTCCTTCTAGTATATCATGCATTAGATATCCTATTCTAACCATTTATGACTTTTAAAAGAGCAATAATATCAACTGGAAAATGTATCCTCTTAGGAATTCAAATACGTTGACATTCTTCGCCGTAAGGATGCATTTTGCACCTGTCAAGAGTTTGGAAATCTGTAGCCTTATTCCTGCCAATCCCCAGTCTTCATCCGCTCATCCCCATGAAAATTGAATTCCCCGTAAATGCCACGTAAAATCTTTGTGCGGCAGCCCCTCTGCGACTGCCTTTGGCGGTAGTGGCAGCTGCTCCACGTCGCATGCCTTCCGCTCCACCCAGTTGTCTCCGTTTTGGGGCATGCCACGGCCTACATAAATATGCATATGCTCCACAAACATTTGCCAAGCTATCCGGCCCCACGAATCTGCAGGCTACGGACCCGGGGACTGAGCTGGGATGTGGTTCCCGAAATTCATGCGAAAACTGCTGACATTTTGCAAAATAAATGCAACGTCAGAAATATTGCACATGCATGCAAATAGTGCGACTCGCGACGCAGCAGAGTGATAAATACACAAATCCCAGTCAGCTTTGCTGGTTAGACATCCGTTTAATTGAGTCAACACAACGCAAAGCCACAGCCGGAGAATCCGTAGAATCTGTAGAGTGCCCGGAGCAGAAAGCAGTCGGAGAAAGCCAGGAGAAAGGGCCTGGGGTGGCGTCAAATTAACGCTGTCAACTTTTCGCTGCGTGCACAAAAAACATTAAAAACTAATTTATGGATTTGCAAGCCAACTCCGGCGTTGATTTATGTAGATCCACTTGGCGAAAGCAAACAGAAAGTTTGGTTCTCCAACCAAATTGTGGTCTGACAGAATTCTTAAGACTGAGGGTTCTTATTTAGATAAAGAATCCCTTGAGAACTTAACAAAGTATACCAGCTTGTAGTTTTATGTTTTAATTACAATTTCAGCAACTTTTAAGAAGTTCCTATAGAAACATCTTTAATAGAAATAATAAAAGGTCCTTTAATAAATAATATCCGAAGCTCGAAACTCGAAACCTTTCAAATTCAAGCCTCTTTTTTTCTTCCAGTAGACCACTCCATAAATTAGGATAATACTCACAGCACTTGGGTGTCCTGCGGAACTTGGGGCACGGCAGACAGCTTGGCGCGAATGCAGCGTACGGTGCGCTCCAGGCAATTGCATCCGGCCGGACAATAGACGGACTCTCCTCCTCCAAAAATAAGCACCAGGCCGAGAAGCTGGAGCCACAGGACCGGCAGCATTCCCGAGGAACGCATTTCAACGACGAATATTTCACGCACTTCTCACCAGATGGATACTTCTTTGACGATTGTTCGAGACTATAAAAGTATCAACGATAATAAACACACCACTGGCGGAAGTTAAAGCCACCGTCTTATCACTAAAGTGATCCTCGTACAGCGTCTATCACTAATTTGGAGCTCGTAACACTGCGCAAGTGCGACTCACATATCGCCTTAAGCTCGCGTTGCTACACGGAGAGAAAAGGATTGATTAAAAGGGACTACTGCTTTAAAAATAGATAACTAGAATACAAAATAAATACCCTGAGTGGTTAAGTGAACGTTTAAAATTTAGAGTAATTGTAAAATTTAAAGATATATTTTAAAAAATTACAACCGTTACACATATGTAGATAGTTTTGGTGTAAGAGAACTTAGACTTTTGAAACTATTTTCAAATCCTTTTTCGGAAAAGTATATTTTTATTTAAACACAAACATTTATAATGTATAATTCCAATCTTTATGTTTATTTTTTCTACAGAACCACTCAAGAAACCTTATTTTGAATAAAATAAAATACACCGCATTTTAAAAACAATAAATCCTAAAAACAATAAATCCTAAGCATTTAAAAAAAAATAAATAAATTTTCTTAAAGCTACCGATAGGCTTTATTTTTATGTTTAAAAATATGTTTTTATTTTCTGTGTATTTAAAACGCGATAAAATTTGACACTTTTTTATGAAAATTGACTGCGGGAATTCTCGATTCCGTCCGGGTGAACTGCACGCGCCAAATGCCGACGAGCATCTGAACGCCGAGTGGGAAAAAAGCGGAACCGAGCCGAGTTGCATATGCAGCGCATGCGGGAGGGTGGAGGTGGTTATGGAGGACTCCCACAGCTTCGTGCCACTGCCTCCGCCGGATGCAGACTGTGATAACATTTTCCTGAGGCGCTCAGCTCAAGAGTTCTCGATATTAGTTGTCGGGCAGTGTGTGACTGAAGCCTATGGTTCTTGGCTAGCTGGATGGATAGTTGGATACATGGATGTATGGATGAGTGGAGGGATTGATGGCTCTATCTATGCACGATATAGTGGAGAGTCTAGTCAAGGCCAGAGCTCTTGTGGCGCCGGTGGATTTTCAATGTATTTTCTATGCGGAAAACACAACAAGTATACGCCACGTTGCACTTGCCAACATCGAACGCTTTGCCTGCGCTCCGATTCATGTTTAATGCATAGAGAGGTGGCATGGAGGAGTGGCATGGTGGTGTCATGGGGAGCACTCCACGTCCCTCTTGATTTTGCCCCCAAAAATCGGGAAAACTAAGCGTTCGGTGATAAGACGCGAAATCAAATTTAAAAGCTATCAATTTGATATTAGTTCGGGGACTGCCGAGAAACCCTTTGGGGGAAAGTTTGTTGCGCGTGCCGGAATGCAGGGAAACAGAGTTTTCCTATAGTTTCTTTTTTCGGGTATACGGGGGCTTCCCACCCCGCCTTGTTTGCTTTTTTGGACATATGCTGCCATGCTGCAGCTCATAAAACTCGTCCCTCGATTTTGCTGCAGATTTCATTTTGTCTCCTCTATTTTTTTGTCGGCATCACTTTTTTCGGTTAGCTGTCGAAGTTTTGAAATCAATTTGCAGATGATTTATTATGTTCAGAGAGTTGTGAAGAGGGGGGCAGGTTAGAGGCACGGCCGGAAAAAAAGGAGTAAAGGAGGAAGCTGTGCATACGACAACGGCAAATGGAAGCCTCTACTGACGTTGATGAATGCCGCTGTGTATTGTTTTGCTGTCAGTTTCGATCAATTTCGTTTCGGGGCATCGAATTGCAGGTGAACCGGAAAATTTGCAAGTTATGCGACAGTTTTATGCGCCCATTTATGGCCGCCTTCTGGGGGGACCAGAAATGCAAACTATTTGCAAATTGATTGCAAATCTGAGACTGAATTTGCTGGCTTTGCAATTCATGTGACTGGTTTTTTGTCAAATTTAGTATTGGCACGGTTCTGAATATTAAATATTACATCTAAGCAGAGTTTTTATAAATTCTTTCTCAAGGAATTTTTAAAACTAGGCGCCGAAACCAATGGTGCTGCCAACTCCCTGTTACTAGCTATCGTTGATATCGATAATTCTTCAAAAGCAAGCTACTTAAATTATAAAAAGGGAAAAAATTGCGAGAAAAAAAGGTTTTTAAGAGGTTTTCTTGGCTTTTAACATTATAATTGAATGATGAAAAAAAAATTAAACAATTCTTATTGGGTTCGATACCGACTTGGATTGTCGCACAGCTGTAAGTTTCGATAAAGTCAGGTGGTATATTATAAAGTCCGTACCATGGTCACACTAAACCCTAAAAAACAAGTGATAATATTTTTGGAATTCGCAGTTTTTTGCCCAACTAAAACCGGAAAATGATATTTTCTGCCCATAAATAACTCTGATATGTCCAAGCGCAACAATATAACGTACGTTAAGCCACAGGAACCGAGTTTTTTGGCCAAATTGAAGGCTGAGATTGGCTACAAAGAGGGTCCGACATTGGAAACCAAGGTGAGTTTTTAGCCGCTTTCCCGGGCCAAAAACGCGCTCATTTCCCGCCTCCGCACCGGCAGCGTCAGCGTTTGGAGCGCGATCCAGAGGACAACGATTCAGATTCCGGCGAGGAGCGACAGGACGAACAGCCGCAGGTGGTGGTCCTCAATGTGGGCGATCTAACCGCCGAGGAAGCTCTCGAGGAAAAACGCTTGGCCGCCAAAGGTACGCCACCCATACATATAGACGGTTACACGCTCGCACACACACATACAGACACCGACACGGCTGACACGTGTGTGCGTAGGTAGGATGTTGTAGTTGGTCTTTCAGTTTCAAAAAAATTTTCAATCGAGCGGTTGCCTCCACGCCGCTTCTTCTGTTGCTGCTGCCCGCCGCTCTGTTACAAACATATATATTTTTATTTAATATATATATATATATGTACTGCGTGTGTGTGTGGCAAGGTGCGCGTGTGGTTGTGTGTGCATTGAATTTTTGCAAATCAAATTTTGAAAATAGCAATATAAACAAAAGAATATTCGCTCTACCAAACTCTGGAGCTCTAAGCTTTGTTTTCCTGTGTTCCTTAAAGGTGTGTTTGATAGTTTTTTTTAATTGTTATGTTTTTAAGATGTAAAAGATGTATTCAAGTGCTTAATTTATATTGTAATCCATCAGTTATAGTCTGGGTTAAGTCCATTGTTGCCATGGTAATAAAAAGAATACATACTTTTGGCCATTTGTAACTCCTGCCCCGAGGAGTCCCCTTTTTGGCCAGCGGAGCACCCCTCACACAGACTTGGCGCACACACACACACACAAAGACGGGGGCATACACACAGACATTTTCATTGGAGCCCCCCAAAGCAGAGCATGTGATGAAAATTGTGGCCAAAGCGGGCGGTGCGATAAAGCAGCCGGCAAAGAAGTTAACAGCAGCTGTCGTTGCCTCCTCTTCGTCCCCTCGTTCTCCCTCAGCTCTTCCGCTTCCTCCGTGCCCCCGCCTATTCTTCCCCTATGGTTCGTTATATTCTTCTTCTTCTTCTTCTTCGCAGCGCAGAAAATCGGGTGAAAACGAACGAAGGAGGCAGCCAAAGCGGAGAGACAATGATGAACGAAGCAGGCGAGCAAAGAGCAGGCCAAAGTGGCTTGACGACGTGGTGGAGGTCGGGCGCGGGATGAGGGGGCTGGGCAGTGGGGGCGGATTGCGAATTAGAAGGTGGAGCGGATGGTGGGGGAGGAGGCGGAACCAGGGCTGAGAAAAACATCTTGTAGGTGCTGCTCCTCAGCAAGGCGGGGTAGTGGGTGGAACAGATTTCCTCTCTTCGTCATGCTGCAATTTCAAAACCCAGATATATTTTCCGGCCAGATACAAGATACAAAATACAAGTGGAAGATACATGTTCTTATTCGAAAATTCCAATTCTGCGATCTCAAAATAAGCAATCAGCTTAAAGGCATAACCTCCTGACACTTGTTTTAAGATATTTTTATTTATTTAAATATTAAAATCTTTGCAAAATGACTAAATCTCTATATAATTTTATTGCAGAACTAGCTGAGAAACGCGCCGACCTATCCCAGCCAATCGTTTTCAAGCAAAGGGTGAAGCAGGTCAACGTGGAGACGGCCACCAGCAGCAAGAAATCGGAAAGGTCCGAAAAATCAAAGTCCAAGTCCAAGAAATCCAAGGCCGTTGCCAGCAGTAAACTATCCTTCAACGAGGACGAAGACGACGAGGCCGAGGATTCAAGTTAAAAGCTGGCCAACTTGAAAATAACATCCAATTGTTGTGGAACACCTTTGGCGAATGATTAAGGTGAGAATATATAGGCCAAAAACTGTAAATCTTTGTTAGATAAGTTAAGGTTTCCACTGTTGCCATGTCAGACTCTGAACCAGAATGGCCCATAGCCATTAATAAAATTTATTAAATTTCTTTTCATTTTTTAAGATAGTTTTGGTATTTTTGATAGAAACTTTATCATTTATTTTGGTATTGGGAGGATTCTTAAATTTTAACAAAATATTTCTGTAGTTATGCAATAGAAAAGCTTTATATTTTAATGTTCTTATGGCTCTTTATTTATATTTCATTAAAAATTAAATTTTTGACTCATTTTTTTTTGTATTACTCATAATCTAAAATGTTTCATTGTGACTCATTTGAATAACGAATCGTCTATTTCGACTTCTATAAGACTTAAATTAAATGAAGTTGTTTATTACATAGATAACATAGCTATTTTAAATTAATATCTTCCAATTTAATTTAATTAAAATAGGTCTTTAGTTTATTTAAATTGGTTTATAGAGCTTAACATTCCAACTCTGTACAACCTTGAGATACTTCTTGGAGAACTACTTTGAAGTTCATACACCTTTTCTTCATGCCTGCAAGCAATGGCATCTCTTACTAGTCGTGGCTCCAATTTCGAACCACCTGAGAACGGCCAATTTAATTTAAAGGGAAAAGGTCACGTGTGTGTATAACATAAACTGATAGCATTAGTTCGGGATGAGGAGCTAGCGGGCCGGCGAACCGCATGGGACATACCCTATAGTCCCCTCATAATCATACCCTGTACCCCAGTGGCATATACCAGTTGATGATCAAGGGGGTGAGTGGTGGTGGAGGTAGAGCAGTTATAAACTGCGCCAGAAGCGGGTTACTTTCAAATTTTGTACTTGCATATAGACCAAAACGCTCACATACATATATATATATACATATTTAGTTGTATGTATACATATAGGTAGGTATGTAGGACTGTATATATGTTTCGCTGTGGGTGCGAAAGAGAGGCAGCGTAATCTGAAATAAGTTGGAGAAGAAGAAGCATCAGCAAAAGTATCGTGATGAGTATACAGTTTAAGACGCTCAGTGTATTAGTATTAGTAAGTGTCTGTGTGTGGGCGGTCGCCAGGGGGGGGGATTGGAATTGGCAGCTTGCAACTATTTCCGATAACCATTATCACCGTTGGCGAAAATTTTGGTTTCGCGCGCTACATTTGAATATCTGCACATGCAAAATCGCATAAATCCATCAGAAATGCCGGCGACAGGCAATGCCGTTTCAGTTTTGTTTTGTTCATTTCGTTCGTGGCGCGCGTACAATTGTCAAATTTGTTTTTTCTCTCATTCCACGGCATTCTTCCATCCCATTCACATGGCCCACCAACACTTGCATACCGTAGATACTGTTGAATTGGTGGTGTTATAGCCAGATATGTTGGCCATGTAATTGCTGATAAAATCAAGACTATAAAAGTCTCTAAATTTTAATAATTTTGGTATATAAAACACTAATTTTGGGTAGAAATAATATATATTTCGTTCTATCAAATCTTTATCTTGAAGATACTAATATTTTTTATGTATCTCACAGTAATATTTTGTAAAAATATTCTTTAAAAATATTATCTAGTGAGTTGAATAATTTAATAACATAAAAATATAATTTGTAACCTATTAACTTTATTATTATTTATCCAAACTTGTAAAGATACAATATCTTTAAGATAAATAGCTATCTTTTTTCGCACCACTGACATAAACTCTCGCGCCATGCGCTTCACACACTCGTTCGCTATTTTTGAGAGCGGTATTTTCGCGCGCTGCTTAATTATGGAATATTGCTCTCGTTTAATGCATGTGATGGAGGATATTTTTTTTTATTGTCAACTACGTTAATTAATTATGTATTCTCCCCTTTGTTTACTAATTTAAATCACTTGTTTTAAGTTGGTACCGCTTATCGATAACCGATAACTGATATCAGCAACCGTGCGCGCGCCCGGCTGTTCGGTGCAACTCTGTTTTTGCTTTTTCCGCTTCACACATTTCCAGTTTGCCTTTTGTCTTGTTCGTTCGTCCCTCTTGTCTCGCGGCGTTCTTTCCACTCATTTTTTTCTGCCATCAACCCCACGCAAAAAAGAAACGGATTTGGTTGTTTTTCGCGAAAAAGATCCTTGATTCGGAAGCTTTGTTTATTGTTTGATCGAATTACATACGTTGATGAGAGAGGGGAGAAGAAAAGCGGGAGCAAAACAACAACCTGCCGATTGTGAGAGGAAAATGTAAATGTAAGCGTCATAAAAACAAAAACAACATAAAACGTGTATTAAACATATACCGTTATCATGTAATAAATAATGCTTGATTAAAATAAGTTAAAAGTGCAAAAGATATCAACTAGCATAGAAGCGAGACACACTAACACACGCGAACGCGTCCACACACACACACACACATACACTAGCGCAAAAACACGCTCCTGTACCAAAAGGCAAAAACAAAAAGTACTCCACCACGCCGCACAAAAACCAACAAAAACAACAAGAGCAACAACAACAACAACTATAGCCAAACGTCGTCATCCGCAGCCCCTTCGACCCCCACCTTCCCACCGACCGACAAACCGACCCCCCCTTCAGCAGCCCGTCTCTGTACAAGCTTACGTATATATGTACATATATAAATATATATATTGTATATATAGATTGTATGTATGTTTGGGTGGCCGCTCTAGTACATACATATGTATGTCGGTTTCTGTGTTGTTGCTGTGTCTGTATGTATGTCAATCGTTTTGTTGGCTCTGCTCGGTAACTGTTCGTTCATACAAACATACATATAAGTACATATATATAAAACATACTTTTTTACATATATACATTAGGTAAATATGTAATGTACATACATACATACATAACTCCCTTGCATTCAACTATTTTTTTTCCCATAGTGTAATTTACATAAAGTCGGCCACATACATATCTACATGCATTCATTACATATTAAATTGTATTTTAGTTTTAATCCAATATGGCAGCCATTTTGTATTAATTCTTTCAACTCCTCCCCACCACCTCCCGTACCCACCGCCCACTAACCAGCACCCTTTACTTCATAATCCCCCCTCCGACTCCCGCGCTAATCTTCAAACTACCGCCTTTTCTTAACAGGGTTTTAATTCACCTAGATTTTCAAATATTTCGGCGATTGTTAAGTTTTTTTTTTTCGCCATACCCTCTCTTTCTGCAGTTTTAGCTCTTTTTTATTTTTACTCTTTGCCCGCTACGCTTTGTGCTGTTCGTTCGTTGCCTTTTTGTTGTTTTATTTTATATATATATATATTTTTTTTTATTTTTTTTGATACTTTAGTTTTCTTTTACGTGCCAATTTTTCCGGTTGGTCTTCTAAGAAGAAGAGACCCAGCTTTTAGTCATTAATGCAAACATCTTGGCTAATTCTCGAATCTGTATTTTGACCAAATTCCAGATATTCAAACATTCGGAAGATAGAACGTATCCGAAACTGACTGGGCCGCCGCCGCATTCTACATAGCAGAGAACGGACAACAAATGACCGAAGTCGATGTCGTTTTGCCGGAGGGCGTGGCCGAGCCCACGACAAAGCTTGCCAGCGCATCAACAGCAGATTCGCCGCAGAACCTTCAAAAGCCCGAGGAAGAGGAACGGAATGTCGACGAAGTTGATGATGATGAGGATGAGGGAGCTGAGGCCGAGGCTGACCCCGAAGCTGATGCTCCAGTCGAAAGTGACCTGGAATTGCCCGCCAAGGAGAAGCTATCTTCGGACGACAAGGAGATCGCCAAGGAAGATGTTTCCCAGGCTTCACCGAAAGCACCAGCTCCTGAGGAGATAATGGAGGTGGACGACCACCCCACGGAGGTAGAGGAGGTTGCAAACACCGACGAGGATGACTCTCAGGTCACGGACAGTAGCCCCAAGGCGGTGAAGCAGCCCGAAGATGTAGATGACGTCGAGGAGGCTGCCACAAATGGCGACCACGAACCAGAGGACGACGACGATGTCGAAAAAATCGGCAGCACTGCCGAAAACAGCTGTGAAGCCGAAGATCCGCTGGGAGCGGCCACAGAGGAACAGGATGGGGATGATGTAGAGCTGGTTAGCGGCACAAAGACGTTACCGGATGAGGAGGAGAGCCAGCCCAGCGAAAAAGGCGAAGGGGGCGAGGAGGCGGTAACGAGAAAGGAAAATGGCTTTGTGGTTAGCCCGCAGCCGGGTTCCAAACAGAAGGAGAACGGCCAGGCTAGCGTGGCGGAAGCAAAAGCGGCCAGCCAGAATATTGATGGTATTGTCAACCTGGACGAGGACACTGACGAAGAAATGGACGATCTCACAGAACACAAGGAGCCGGCAAAGCCCACGGACTTGGTTGTCAAACCGGCGGCGACGGCAGCATCTGTCAGCGGCGGAGAGTCCTCCGATGACGCAGTGCTGATAGCCTCTGATTCTGAGAACGAGGCAGCAGCTCCATCGCCAGTAAAGAAGCTTCCCCAATCGCCGGTCAAGGCAACGCCCCAGCCTCCGGTGCACCCCACAGATGATGATGATGATGATGACGATGATGATTGCGTGGTCATAGAAGACGACACACCCCCAAGTATTTCTCCCACTAGTATGAAGCGAAAAGGCGACTTGGATGACTTACAGCCGAGTCACAAACGACAGCGCAGCTCGACGCCCTCGGGAATGGGTGGGCTGACCATCAAGGACGCCCGGTCATTGATGCCCCTCGATGGAGTCGGTGGACCTGTTGCTTCGGGTCCCCGGGACTCTGTTTACCCTGTTACCATAACGAATGCTGTGACGGGTGCGGCCACAAATTTGGGAGTTGTTCCACCGAAACTGGTTCCAATGGCCGGAGGACTCAGCTCGAGCCCTGCGCAGCTGAATCCGCCAACGCTATCCCTCACCGGCGGTCTGCCCAGCATGACCAACAATGCGAATCTGCTGCCGGGCCTCACCGACGACATGTTTGTCCTGGAAGCACCGTCGTTCATTGTGCCCTACATCTATGAGAAGCCCCCGAACCAGAACATCTGCGAAGTGGTCAAGGCCCTCGAAACGAAGTACGCCCTTTCCGCCGAAGATCTGGCCGAGGCGGACAAGGGGGACGAGTTCGACATGATGACTGAACAGAACAAGGAGGACAAGCCGGATCAGAGTACGGAGCAGTCTAGCAAGAAGAAAAAGAAGCGTGGGGACGACGAATCATGGTCGGAGCAGTCGGATGACGACGACGACGATGACGATGATGACGACTCGGAGTCGGGTGTGCGCACCAAGGTGCTGATCAAGGAGGCTAACGACGACCTCACTGCCCTGAAAGGAGCCATAAAGCCAGCATCGGCGTTGGCGGCCTCCGGAGGTAACGCATCGGCTGGAGCCAGCAAGCCCGGCCAGGAGAACTACTTCGAGAGTCCGCTGGGCAAGTTCTTCATGGACATTGGCGTGGGCTTGGTGCAGGAGTACGTCCAGGCGGATCTTTTGCGATTGCAGAAGCGCAAGATGCGCAAATCGAACGTGCGAGATCCCAAGGAGTTCGAAATGGCCATCAATGCCCTGTCCGGCAATCTGCAGGCCTCCAAAACGAAAAATGCTCCATTCAAGTTCCGGATGAAGCGCTGCGAGTTCTGCAACTTCAAGTCGGAGTCGGCCATGGCGATGGCTAACCACTACGAGACGCCGCACATGAACGGGGTGCTGTACAAGTGCAACTTCTGCACGTTCGAGATCCGGAATGCAACGGAGATTGTTTACCACATGGAGGCGGTGCACAACATCAAGGCGCGCCTGATCAAGCCACTGCCCTACCACCAGTGTCCCAACTGCGGTTTCGAGGACAACGGCAAGGCGAAGTTGGCTCGGCATCAGCCCGTTTGCGCCAAGAAGTTCCGGCCGGAGCTGAACCTGGCGCCGCCAAACGACTGGGAGGCTCCAGCCAAGATACCGCGAATCAAGCCACGCCACGGACTTGTGGGTACTGCCACTGCCTATCAGGTAAGGATTCTAATTATCCCTTGCTTTTGGGTGTCTTAATAATAGTCTCTGTTCTTCCTTTTAGGCTATGGCTGCGCAGGCAGCAGCTCAGAAGGCTGCCTTGGCCACCATCCAGCAACAGCAGGCTGCAGCTCAGGCCAGGAATCTGCAGGCCGCGGCTCTGGCCGCCCAAAATGCCGCCAAGATGCGACGAGAGCAACGAGCGGCGCAACCGCCCAAGCAGAATATGGTACGCAACCCGGCTCCAGTGCGGGGAGGCAACGCAATCGGTGCTGGTCTTTCTCTGCCAAACAGCTACCAACTGGCTGCCGGACAACTTGTCCAGGTAAGATGAAGCGCCAAGACCGTTGCGATAATATTTTTTAAAGGAGAATCGGTTTTAACGAAACATTTCTTTCCGCAGCAGGCGTCCAAGAAACCGATGGCCGGCCAGCCAAGCATCTCGATAACGCCATTACCTCGACAGAGTTCGGCGGGTGCCAATGCGGGAGCTTCCTCCAGCAAGGTGCCTCCAGCGGCTGCTGGCATGAAGCCAGGTCAGAGTCCCAGCGGCAACAACAAGGCGCAGTTCGTCATATGCGAGATCTGCGATGGCTATATTAAGGACCTGGAACAGCTGCGCAATCACATGCAATGGATGCACAAAGTGAAGGTACTGCTGAGTTTCCATACATTCCGATTTTCTGTCTTGCTAATCTTGTAATCTCTCTCCGAAACAGATTCATCCGAAGATGATCTACAATAGGCCGCCATTGAATTGCCAAAAGTGTCAGTTCCGATTCTTCACGGACCAGGGACTGGAAAGGCATTTGCTTGGCTCACATGGCTTGGTCACAAGCTCCATGCAGGAGGCTGCCAACAAGGGCAAGGATGCCGGGCGCTGCCCCGTTTGCGGCAGGGTAAGAATACTCATAATCTTGATACCTTTTCGTTGCTAATAAGTGGTCCCTTGTTGCAGATGTACCAATGGAAGTTGCTGAACCACGTGTCGCGCGATCACCACATGACCCTGAAGCCCGCACACCTCTCCTACAAGTGCACCGTGTGCACGGCCACCTTCGGCATGTACAAACAGTTTGAGACGCACGTGTACACCGCCCACAGCACGGTGGCCAGGAAGGCGATGGACAGCAAGAAGAACAGTGCGCAGTCGAGCGGGTCGGGATCTGGGGCTGGAATGTCGCGCAGCTCGCTGGGAGCGGCCAATGATTCGCTGCTGAAGCCTTTAAAGATCAACGATGAGATCACCATAATACCACAGCCCGCATCGAAGCCACGCATCACAAATATGGAGAGTCATGTCATAGGTAAGATATATGCAGTCATGATGGATTTCTATATACTAAGTATATCTTGTCTTTGTAGATTAAAGAACATGTTGGATGAACCAAATACCTAATCTCGCAAAGTTTGCAGCATTGACAGCGCTTTAACATTAGTTTCGTTTTTAAGTCCAGAGCAGTGACCTTGTCACCCCCAAGGTCGTCGTAACCATTTACTTTTGTAAGACGAGTTGTATGTATAAAGTGCAGAGAAGTAACGGAAGTAAAGGAGAATGGTAAACCCGAGTGTTTGGCCACCTAACCCCTGACTAAACTAGTGTTAGGTATAAAGTTGCGTCTTAATCACTAACACGAGCTACAGGATACACGATTAAGCATAAAGTCTAACGGCTTAGATACAGATACAAGTTAGAGATACTAGTTACGGATTAGTTATATACGTTTTTGGAGTGTGCACATAAGTTGAAGTTGTAGCTACTACTAAAAATACCACATACATATACATACATATATATATATATATACATATTTAAATATATTTAATGCATATTATGAAGAAGCCGCCAGAGCGCATCGTCTGCATGATGACTATGTAAATTAGTTAAAAACTAAACTATTTATACGACAACTACGAGTATCCAAATGTGTGTTGCAGTATGTATATACATTTTTGATTAGGTACCTCCTGTCCACCTCCCCTACCGCCCCTCGAAATTGGCATTGTCCTGTGGGTTGTCCCCTCCCCCCAGATTAGAGTCTTAGGCGGCAGGCGAAATAAGAGAGAGAGAGAGGACCTTTAGAAATTGATCTGAGAGACGTTCAACTTTTAATTTTTTGTGTACAAGCTTAAATTTATATTTATATTAAACATTATCGATTAATATTAAAAGTATATATCATCTATTACCGCCTAAGAACCAAACCCCCATGTACTACAGTTATAAAGCAAAACACACACACACAACCAACAACAACAACAACAAACTGAAAAATGAGAAAATTAAAAACCTAGTTAATATAAAATGCAAAAGAACTCTTGGAAGAGTATTTTTATTCTTAATAATATATAGATTGCATTTGGGCCTTCTAGGCAGAGGCAGAGGCCTGCTTAGATCGTGGCCCCAAAACCACTCCATCACCTCTTGACGTCGAGGTGAGAAGTGATAGAAATGCTTTTAGCATTGCCCTGGCCCAGTCACATGACCACCATATCGACGCCCCTGCTCCCCTCCCTCACCAGATAACACCGACGTACACCTCATTTGCCTAGCTCTAATGCGAAATTTATTTTTACTTTACAACAGAAAAGTGAAATTCCAGCCTTGTGATGTGACCTGCGATCAAGGCGGAATGGATTCAATGATGGTGATCTTTTGTCCTCGTCCAGTCTTTTCTAGCACTGTAGGTACTTCAGTATGTGTCTTGAGTAGCCGTAAAACTAAGTAGATCTATTAATGTCCCGTATACGTTTGATGGTATCATTCTAGAGTAACGCACTGCCCAGCCCCCTCTAATCCTCCGGCTCGGACTGGGCCACTTCGTTGTCTCGGGTCGGATTCACTGGCAGGGACTTGCCGATGGTCGACGAGGGCGGGAACAGCTGGGCCACATGGGTGAGCTTTGAGAGCGCATCCTGGTCCAGGACCTGGGGCCTGTCGGCGGCCGATACATTGGACTTGCTCAGCTGGTAGAAGGCCGTGTCACTGTGCGTGATGTTCACAATGCTGCCGGTTAGCGGAAGTGTTTCCAGTAGCTCCTGGGGACTGCTGAAGGCGCCCAGGTTCACCGGCGCAATGCCGGTGAGTACCTGGCCGGTGACGTTCGTCTGGATGGGCAGCGGAATGTTGCCCAGGTCGATGTGGCTCTTGTTGCTGTGTGTGTCATAGAAGGTGAGGTCGACGCGCTCCTGGCTCTCGAAGCTGGTGTCATTCTCATCCACTTCCGTCAGGATGCCGATTTCGTAGACCACCGCCTTGACAACATACCTGGAAAGTCAATTAAATATTTTTATTTAATAAAAACTGACAATGTACTAATTGTTTTAAGATCTTTTAAGGAAAAGTTAGATATTTATTTGATTTAACTTACAAATTTTTAGGCGAATCATTGACACTGGCTCTGAGGTCCTCGATCGTCTGGTTGTCGATGCCCGAACTGACATCCAAGACGGGCAGGGAGCCTCCGATCGCCAACAGCATACCGAGCACGGCGGCTCCAAACACAGCCTGATGGACCTGCATTTTGCCTAACGGGAGTGGCTCTGTGGTGGCTGTGTGGCGCTTGTGGTGGTGCCTCTGGTGTGCCTGCTGTGGTGGTACCTGTTGTGGTGCCTTGCCTGACTTTCGCGCGTTTAAAGTTAATTAGTGCAGATCCGAGCGCTTTTATAGGCCCCTCGGGTTGGAGCTTCGGCCGGAGACTTGGCGAGGCGCGATTCCGCGTAATTATCGGCATCTGTTAATTGCCCGACAGGTTTGCCACCACTCTCCAGATCGCTGCCATTGCCATCTTCAGTTTCTAGGCAGATCTCCGTTGTATTCCAGTCGACGGACTTGGCTTCCGTTTCAAAAATAACAACACGACGTGCGGGGAACGTTCGGGGTTGGGGCGCATATATGACGGTGCGACTCGACGATTGTTTTTTAAGACTCGGCCCAGACTCTAATTAATTGTGCTCGTTTCGGAGGGATCCCAGGGACTGAACCGTACACTGAATCCCCACAAATATTGGCCACAAATATATGGGACTGCCTACGCAAATCTCGGTTTGTTGTTGAGCCTGGCCCAAAAATAAGTTCATAAACATTGCACCTTCGTGGTGACGCATTTGGCAGATTAAATTGCATGTGGCCGGGAAGACACGCGCCTGTCTATCAATCCTCTTGATATTACGCATACGCCCTGTGTGACGTAGAATGTTTACAGTCCAAGCAAAATTATCGTTTTGGCCTTAAACGTGCAATGTGAAAGTTTCCGCAGGTACAGCTTTTCAAAATGATTCTCACGATCGCCATTTTATTTAGACTTATTATAACTTATTTAAATTCATTAAATTCCTGTTAATTTTTTCAGAAATATTAGAAACATCTAGTTAGTCTTACGGCCAACCTGAGTTCCTCAGTTGTTCCTGTGTTCTTTCAGGTACAGCTTTTCAAAATGTTCCTCACGATCGCCATTTTATTTAGACTTATTATAACTCATTTAAATTCATTAAATTTATGTTAATTTTTCAGAAATATTAGAAAAATCTAGTTAGTCTTACGGCCTAACAAAATTACCAATTTCGTTAGTATTAATTATCTGTCCCAGAACTAGACTCGGAGTATGGCGGAGATATTGCGCATATGCTCCGCCGAATGTCTCATAAATCTGTGATCAATATAGAAGGATTTTGAATATAATTTATAACACCCCAAATAAAAATCGTTTCACACCAGAGTTAACCGCCTAAAGCCGCTCATTTTCCGGCATAACCAGCCAGATCTTGACTTTCATTCATGATTGCCGGTTTTTTTTTTGTATTCGGTTTTCGGATCTCCAATCTCGAATCTTTCTCCGGCGAATCGTCGTTGCCGGCAGTACACGTTTTGCGGTTTTTTCGGTTGGGAGGCTATTAGGTTCCCAGATGGTACAACAAGTTGATGCCACCAAGTTTTCACCTAATCATGGACCTTTGTTTCAGCGGAAAATTTTCGAAATTAATTTGCACATTTTGCATACAAAGTTTGCGCTCCCCCTCAGGGTGATCTCATGGGGAATGCTCTAATTATGAAGTGTTAAAGAGACGTAATTGTAATTGCCACTGCTGCTCCAAAGTGCATCCGAAAGATACTCGAACATATACTTCATAAATATCTGTATATATTTTGCGGTTTTGGCAGCGCGTGCTTGGGGCATGTTTACAAATTTTGGGTCGATTGTTTTGGCCTTTTGGAAGTGTCTCGAGACTCAATATTGAGTCAGTTTCTTGGAAGTCAATTTGGGCGTTTATTTTAGTAAATATATGTTAATTATCCCAATTAGGACCATCAGCTTGGTCTTGGGAGCGGTGCCTTAAGATCTGTACCACAAAACTCCTGGGTCATGCCGCGTGGTGGTTTTTTAATCCTTGGAATATATTTTCCAACTAATTGAACTAATTTTGCAGCCGATGAAGGTTTAAATTATTAACATTTTTAGTCATGGTAAATTATTCAAAAATAGATATCAGCCTTTGGGAGAAGAATGGCAAAAGTTCATATAATATTTAAAGAACTCCCTAAATATTAACTCATGATTTTAGTTCGTGCTTTTTTTCTTAGTGTCTGAGCTTTGGATGCGGCCGAGAATCCCACCCTATGGGGCTCATATTATATACAGAATAGGCTTGTGCCCTATCGCTGCTGGAGACGCACCACGCGCAAGCCACCCCTCCGATTCAGGTTCCTCAAACCAAGTTCCAAGTTATTCCAAGTGCTAACTAAGCGTACTAACAAAGCTTAGCCGCAACTTTCGGGCCGGGGCGAAAACTTTAAAAACTCGCCGGCCCCGGGGCCTCAAACTTATTTCCGATCAGAGCTTGGAGCCGAACACAACCCTCGGACGAAATCATCGCCAGATCATCAGATCCCCAGAAGCAGCTACAGCAGCAGCAGTGGCCATGAAGTGCTTTTTGTTAACCACCGTGAGTACTCCCACTTTTAAGGATAAGCGACGAGACTAGGATCCGTTGACCTTTCCAGGTGCTTGCGACCTTGACAGTTGCCTCTTTGGCTGCTCCCCTGCAGTTCAGCGATATTCTGACCGCCTTCCAGCCGGCGAATAAGCCGGATGTGGTCAAGCGCCAGGTGGTCGGCAATCCTGATGCCGAGCTGAAGCAGGTCTCGTTTCACGGTCTGATCGGGGATCTGGAGGACAGTCTCTTCCAGTCAGCCCTCAGCCTGCACCAAGCCAGTGCCCCGGGCAGTGAGGTGGAGGAGGTCAGGCCCCAGCCTGTGGCCAGCGAGGAGGAGGAGCACTCGATTACCAAGCGTTCCGATGAGTCTACTCCCGCCACAGATTCCGCCTCCACGGACGATGGTCTAGCTCGCAAGATCTTGCTGCAGACCACCAAGAAAGTTCCCGGCGAAGACGGAGTACCTGCCCACTTGATCATCGATCATGTATCCGTGCAGCCGCACAACGGAGGCGCTCTGCCGCTGATCCCCACCTTCCAGGTGCACCACACCAAGCTGATCTCGGCCACCATCAAGGAGGACTCGAACAACGACAGCAGTGATGGCAAGCAGACCAAGATTAGCATCACCAAGACCTCGATCACGTCCACAGCGCCGCTGGAGAGTGTGGAGGAGGCTGTGGCTCTGGCCTCCAAGGAGGAAACCAGCTCCGTTGTGGTTCCTGTCAAGGAGGAGAGCACCACAGTGGTTCCTGTCAAGGAGCAGAGCACCACAGGGGCTCCAACCAAGGTCGAGAGCTCCACCAAGGCCTCCGGCACGTCAGAGACCTCCGAGGAGGATAAGAAGAGCTCCAGTACCACCGTCCTGGCCAGTGTGAGTGATAGCTCTATCTCAACCACCGCTTCTAGCACCACCTCGACCACCACTCCATCGACCACTTCCACCACCACAGAGGAGCCCATTCAGAAGCTAAAGAAGGACGAGGAGAAGCTCAAGGAGAAAGTGGCCGAGGTGGAGGCCGACCCTGTTATCCTCTCGGCTCGCGTTTAAGCCAGCTGACCTTTGAACCGCTCCTAGTTTTAATGTCATCCCCACACTCTCTCACATATTTATACGACACGCTGACCAAGTTCAATTAAAGTCATGTGATTTTTGATCTAAAGCTTCTCTTTATTTGCATTTCCAATTCACACGGCTTCTGCCAAATTTGAGGCTCTAATTGCTGAGATAAACAGCCAGTAGCTCGTATTTCGCTCTGGGACTCACTGAGGCATGGAGCAATTCACCTGAAACCTTCCCAGAATCCCAGGCCGGGAAAAACCATACGTTGCAATGCAAATATCTGAGCCACCCAGCAAATATTTTAAATCTCGAATCGGGTGGGTGTGTTTCTGCCTTCAATTGGGTCAATTATGGCCACATTTTGTAGGGCGTGGTGGGCGGTATATCGACTCCTCGAGGCGATTTGTTTATTTTCTGCCAAAGTGTTAATCACAATTTGCAAATTAATTGAAAATCAAGTGTTTGATCTATGATTTGCAATTTGGAGAGAAAGTCTTGATACTAGGTTTACTTTATTACCTCTACTCGACTTTTGGTTCATACAAATATATTCAAATATTCAATGTTAATGATATATAATGTGTTTGTTTGCCTCTGTTTTTCTATAATTAGCAATCGAGGGGAGTGCAGTTTTTATAATCGGAAATTGTCTAACATGGGAACTTTTTTCATTATCTATATAACAATTAGATTGTAAAAATATACAAAATATTGTATTGAAAATAGTTGTAAGGTGTGAAAAATATATTTGATGGGTAAATTATGATGTGACAGTAGCACAATAGTTATGAATGGTTTATTCATATAATGGCTCATATAATAACAATATTGACTGAACAATATAGAGTCTATTATAGAGTCTAGTATAAAGAGCTGTTGAAGAGATCAAACTCCAAATGATTTTTAAGATTTCGCACCTGTTTTTACCCATCTTTTCCTTGGATTACATTAATTAAAGATAAGAAAGATAATCGATTATAATAATATTATACTCACACTTAAATATTTACAATAGCCAGAACACAAAGGAGTAGATGTAAACAAGTGTATTTTAAGGGGCTTCTTCTTGAAATGAGTCACTGGCGATAAAGAAACCTCCGTCTCAGACCCCCTCTCAATTATAAACCTGCCAGTGTGTTTTACGGCTGATAAAGATGAGCACTACGATGGGTATACCTTTGATGAGTGTCCGAATATCAAGTATACGCAACGTGAGCGGTCAGAGTGATAAGTCGGTCACACGATAAAAGCAACGCCATCAGCTGTGAGTTTAAATTTAGTTCCTGCTAACCTTTGTTTACTCTTTTGTATTTATTTACCCACTTGGGGGCAGGTTCGGCGTTGTCTCCTCCGTATGTATCTATGTTTGGGAGCAGTACAATAACATGACAGCGATAAAGCAAATAGACCGCTCCGATAAGACCCGACAGGTCTATCACATTCAATTTGTATTACAAAATCGGCCTGGCTAAAATATTTGCACTGGGCCATTGAGCAATTGCTGGAATCAGGCATCAGAGGCACCATGCTGTGATAACAGGTGTAACCCTTAAAATTTCATTAGGCTTATCTTATCGCCGAGAGCGGGCCAGGGGCTTTGGGCCCAGAGTCGATGGCCAATTCGATGGGTCGGTGGGTGCTCAGTGCGAAGCAGGCAGCCGGCGAATGCGTATCGCCTACAATTTCCAGCTCTAAAGAATCCGCGGGCTCCATCGTGTTCCATCGGTGGGTGAGATAACACAGACGGGCACTGCTAAAGGTGTATGGCACCCACTATTTAGTACTGCTAATGGCACCCATTGCGTATCCGCAATTGAAGTGACGACAGCGTAATTTCCTACCTCTGAATCATTCAATTCAATTGTCATTGAGATTAGGTGACTGCCTAGCCGATTCTCCCAGTGTCTTCAGTCCAGTGTCCCATGCAAAATCCCCACAAAAACTAATCAAACTGATAAGATTCCAAATTCGTATTGACGAATTGTAATTTCAAATTGAATTTATAGCTCCGAAGCGTGTGTTGTCTTATCGAGTAGCCAATTGGTTGGCAGCGATCACGGAGGTTGCACAACCCCAAAAGAATCCACAAATTCATCCACATCCTATCCGCCGGAGTGCTAAATAATAAATCCAATACAAGATGGCCGGAACGGGATTCGCCAAGTGCTTTATTCTATTCATGGCGGTGGTCATACTCGTAAGTGCCATAAAGATTGTTCACCATTCTGGTATGAGTTCTAAATTCTCCGTAAATGATTTTACAGGCCCAGGGAGTCATCTATCTTGGTCTGTCCCTATGGGGAATCACTTTCCGGGACTGCCATGAGGCCACGGTATTCAATTCCAACCCATTCAAGTTTGCCATGGAGCTGATTTACTTTACGCGTGAGTAATGCCAACCGAAACTTAAGAGCCTTCATATCAAAATATTTTGATGATGTAAAATCTCAAGCCTATTGATAAGATAACATAATCCTAGGAAAATACTTCCCAGGAGATATGGATCATTTCAGTTACTGGAGAACTACAAAATAATAGATCATATTTATAATAAACCTTATATATTTTCAAACAGAAAAGGACTGCAGTCCACCTTCGCTTATCGTAAACGATCATGACTATTCACTGACTATCACTAATTGGGATAAATCCTATGAAATCGTCAATCGAGAGTACATCTTCATGATCACCTATGCGGTCGTCAGTGGACTTTGGATAGCCACCTCGGTTCTGATCATTCGTAAGATTCCTTAGGATATGTTTCCCGTTCAAACCAATAATATTCATCAATTTCAGTTACTTTATGCAGTCGTACTACCAAACTGATATCTGGTGCCCTTTACTGGCCCTGGTTTTTGGCCGTTATCGGTGGTAGCGCCCTGGACGTAGTGGCCAGTGTGTATCATGGAATTGATTTGAGCCACACAATGGTGGGTAGTCTCTTTATAAAACCCTTCCTCCTTAAACATGAATATGTTTCTTTTTAAGACACTGGATGATGCATTCGCCTACGTAGGAGCTGAGGCTAGCCAGGACGAGCCGTACTGGACAATCCTGCTGAACTTGGGTGTGTACTTCTCGACGCCGGCCATAGTAATGCTCTGCCTGACTGCCCGAGTGGGCATCCTCTGGTTGCTGAACATCATCGGCGTCAGCTTCTGCCTGTCCCTCTCCAACGTGATGGCCAGCCAAAATGCGGCGAAGGCTGTTGTGAGCCGGAGTGAGGCTCCCACCCGCCAGCCAACCCCCCAGCCTGCCGTGGTAGAGCCCCAACCAATGGTGCAACCCGCTTTGGTGGCGACGGCTGTGCTGCAACCGACTGCCCCCTTGGAGAGCCCAGAGTATCCCGAGCAGATCCGTCCCAAACCTCTTCCCATTTTCATACCGGCCGACCAGAGCCTCCAGCGCCAGGACTCGCGTCAGTTTGCGGCTGGAGATCGCACCACCCTTCAGTCGCCAGTTATGGTGCTGCCACCCCAGGTCCCACAACCCCAGAGGGAGGTGGTCTCCCCGCAACCGGACATAAACACTTACCGCACCACTGAGGCTCATCCGGATCGTTTGAACTATCCGCCCGCGGAGTCGCCGGCACCGCGAGCTCCCTCACCAGCTGTCCAACAACTGGCCGTCACCTCCCCGCTAAACAACCGCTACAGCGAAATCTACCCAGCTCCGCCAGCCAATCCACGGGTCAGTGAGGAGTTGCGAAACCAGATGCCCTGGTCCTATACCAGCATGATAACCAAGCCGCCACCACCGCCCCGAAAACCCCAGCTGCAGGTACAGATCTACCCGCAGATCCCAGAGCCCGATTACGCGGACCACGACCACTAGAAAGGAAAAGCGCTGGGGACGAGCAGCTCGAAGCTGATTGCGGGTTAATCAGCCAGGATGCGCGGTTGTGTTGAGTTTTGTGTTATTGTTAACTTTATTGCATAAAGCTAAAGCTGATGGCCAATTGCTTGACTTTTTCTCGCTCCGTCTTCCTTAAAATGTCCTACGAGTAGATCCTTTTTGTGCCTACTGTGTTCGGCTACTAGCTTGAGTGTCTCACTCAAATCCAACTCCAGTTTCTCGCCTCTGTTAAAATGCACTTCCAGCTTGGGTGAATCCTGTTGAATGGCTTTGCCACCCACAACGATGGTTAGGGGATGTCCAAGCCTTTTCGCCTCTAGCAGACGCTTGCCTATGGTTAGGTCCTTGCGGTCGTCGTGAAGAAGATCCTGAGGACCACAAAGCTGACCCACGCTATGGAGCAATTCGTTTTCTACCACCTCTGCTGACAGCTGCTCCTTGCTTCCCTGTTTCGGTCCAATCAAGCACACATCAAAAGGCGCTATAAGCTTGGGCCATTGTAGTTCCTGCTCGGAGGAGAGTACTTCTAGGGCGGCTGCTATCACCCTGGTGATACCGATCCCATAACATCCCATAATTAGAGGATGCGGCTTTCCAGAAGTGTTAAGGAAGGTGGCTCCTAGGGGCTTGGAATATTTGTCACCTAGTAGAAAAGTGTGTGCTATCTCTACGCCACGAACTTCGTTCAGACTCGAACTCTGACAGCTTGGGCATTTTTCCGGGGTAGTCAATACCTCTGAGTTCCCTGCAAAGCCACATGAGCTGCACTGCATCAAGGAATCCTCCCCCACCGTGGAAACGTAATGGTATTCATGGGAAAGGCTTCCACCCATCATTCCCGTGGCGGCATTTACTACGAAATAGATGTTTCTTATTAATTCACATTCTCAGGAAAGGAAACAAAACATACCCTTAACAAAGGGAACCTCAAGCTGTTGGAAGAGCCTATCGTAGGCTTCGCTAACAGCAGAATATGATTCCCTAGCAGTTTCCTCAGAGACATCAAACGAATACATGTCTTTCATCAAGAATTCCTTCGCTCGCATCAGCCCAAAACGTGACTTAAGCTCATCTCGGAACTTGGGACCTATTTGATACAGACGTAGGGGTAGCTGACGGTAGGAAATGGGTGAGGTAGTGGCCAGCATGGCGGTTATAGCCTCTTCATGGGTCTAAGATTAAAACGAGGCTGAATAGAACTATTAGGGAGTGCTTATTTTGTACTCTCTTACTGGACTCATTAGAAACTGCTTCCCGCTGCGATCGCGGACCATATAGAACTCGGAGATGTCCCCCTCCAGGCGTCCTGTTTTCTTCCAAAGCGCCGTGGGCGTGAGAATGGGTAAACTGATCTTCTGTCCGCCCGCCAATTGCATATTGCTTTGGACCAAGTCGATCAGTTTATCAACCGATCGCTGAGCTATGGGCATTACTTGATACGTGCCATTGCTGCCTGATTTTATCAGTCCCAAATCTGTGAGTAGCTGGAAAAGTGACGTTTTCATAATCGCTTTCGTAACACCTCGAATTATTACCTTTTGACTGCGTGAAAGTTGTTCTGTTTGTTTGACAACCGCATTCTTGGGTGTTATAAGAGCTGGGCAGAAGAGTCGAGAGGCTTTATTCATATTAACATTAGTGCTTAATAAACTTGGGAATAGTTAAAATATATTATTTATTTATAAACACCGGCAAATGCAAAAAAATCAGCTGTTGGTTGTGAAAACAGATGTTGCAGGAGATGTTATCGATAACAGGGCTGTGGTGAAAAAAAGCGTGGTGAAAAAACATAAACAAAAACTACATATTAAACGAAGTTAGCTCCTAATAATTATATGTCTTATTACTAAATAAAAAATAATATTTGTTATATTTAATATATAACTTGTGTAATATTTTTCAAAATAATATGTTGTAAAGTGTAGAATCGAGTAAATAAATATGAAATTTTCACATCCTTTATTGTCATCTGTAGAGTGAAAACTTTAAAACCATATCTAACCCAAGAACGATAGAATCTGGATTCTAGAATATGTGGTGCTAAAAAAAAACTTTTCAAACCAGCCGCCGATAAAAATAAATCATTTCCATACAAAGCATATCGATATATTTATAGATTTATCGACAACCTGAATCACTCATAAACATGAGCGCCTTCCAGGATCTTTACAAAAAAGGCATGGATCGCGGCGCCCACCAAAGACAGCGACAAAAGGAGCTTCTCAGGCAGCAGAAGCTGCGCCGCCAGCAGGAACAGGATGGCACCAGGTCACTGCAGAAAATCCAAAGCGAAAAGCCTTCCACAAGCAACTTTAACAAGAAACAACGTGTTGCCAAGCGAAATGAGTTTCCTTTTAGGCCACAGCTCTCCGAGTGGCTGCGGGAGAAACCGGAGGAGCTGAGCGAGTGGATGCTAGTGCCGTGTCCTGTGGGAAGGCGATGCCTGGTGGTTGCTTACAATGGAAAAACAAAGGTCTTCACCAAAGCCGGCTACTGCTTTCAGGAGTTCAAATCGAAATTGCCGGGGGATGTCACTCAAATAAAGTACCAAACAGTGCTGGACTGCGTCTATGTGGAGAAGGAGGAAACTTTTTATGTGCTGGATGCTATCTCCTTTGGCCAGCAAGAGCTGCAGGAGTGTGAAGCTGTGTTTCGCTTCTACTGGCTCCGTGCCCGTTTCGATGAGAATGATTTCGAAACGATAGGCGATCACAACGAAAAGGCTTTCGTGCTGGTGGATCACCACGACTTCGACAACACTTCGGCCATCGAGGAGACACTCCAGAAGTATCCCCTTTGGGACGGGAATAAGCCAGCCCTGGACGGTTTTTTGTTCTACCACAAAGAGGCAAGTTACGTGTGTGCCACTACTCCCTTGGTTTGCTGGCTGTTTGCCTTTATGGTGCCGGATGTCCTGGGACTACCAGTAAGTGAAAACTATGCAGCTCCGGATGATTACCAGCCCAGGCAGCCGCTGGAGTACATGAACGAGTTCGATCGCAAGCTGGATGAGCAACGATTGCAGCGCCGAAAGCAGAAGAAAAAGAAAGTGCCCGCCATGGATGCAGAAAACGAGGAGCAAGCATCTTCTTCCATGGCACAGGATGTGCCGGAGGATGACGATGATAGCGATGAGTTCGCCAGCCTTAAAAGTCTTCTTGACCACGAACGGCGCCTGGAGCTGGGCGAATTAGACATGGACTGTGAAGAGTCGCCATCAGCTGTAAGCTGCTAGGCGCCAAAACCACCACCACCACTATAATATTAATAACACCGCCGCTAAGGATTTCCTGCGCCTGCGCCCTGGCCGCGCGGCCCTGACAAACGGCCTCAGCTCGTGCCCAGGAAAAGCAGCCCAGATTTTGGGCAGGCCAACAGAATCAGCATCCGCAAAAAATCACCGTACAAAATATATTAATAAAACAATCTAATTGGACGCAACAAGGATCAGAATGGTAATACAGCGAAGTTGGAAAATTCCCTCTGATGTAGGGGGATCATTAGGCGGCAGCACCACAGCCTCCAACGAAGGCCAGCAGCGTTCATCTCCGGGCTTGCAGCTGCAGGCAGCAAACTCCTCCTCAGATGACTCCGATTGCTCCAATCAGACTACGCACTCCATGGACACACGTGTGGCCAGTCCAGCGGAGTGTGTGAAAAAGCAGGCCGAAAAGGATGGAGGCGTTACAGAAACCAACAGTATTACCCTCTCCCTTCTGGGCGAATCCACATCCTCGGATGCGGAGCCTGCTTTGGTAATAGAAGATTATCCCCAAAAAAAACTTTTATTCCTAAATTGTTCCTCGTAGAAATATGTTACCACCCCGGATATGGCTGAAACAATGTTGCAGCGCATACGGCAGAGACTTGGTGGCACGCATAACATGGAAAGCGGCGGCAGTGCTGAGTCGGCCATGAGAGCACTAGAGCTTCTGAGGATTAGCGTGCAGCAATCCTTCGATGCGGAGGTCAATGATATAATACAACGCTACATTAATGTGGGTTCAAGCTGCATTTGAAACACTACCCTTACTTATAATCTTTTCTTTAAAGAACTACTTTAAGCCTGCATTTGCCAACATCAAGGAAAATCTGGGCCAGCATTCCGTGAACGAGGAAACGCTTCAGAAGATGTCCTCGTGTGCTCTGCTCGAGAATGCCAAGGCCCAGTATACGAATTTTGTGCGCCAGCATCGTTTAGTACCCGGAGCCACCACGGAGCAGCAGCGCTTGGCCCTGAAACGCACTGCTAAGCCGGAGACTGTCACAAACAACAAGGTATTCGCTAGTTTTGCTGCCACCAAGCCCATGCCCTGCACGGCAACAACATCGAATCAGTTGCAGCCCGTAAATCAGCAGCAGATTGCAAACCAGCCGCTGCCTGTGCCACAGGAATTGCCAGTGGTGCAGCCTCTTCAGCAGCAGACGCATCGAACAACGATTACTCCCTTGGTTGGTGGGACACTGCCTACGCCAGTTCGCCGCCAGATTTTCTGGAACACCGCTCAGATATCGACGAGCACCAAGTTTGTGCTGGACGTGCAGGCTAATCTGGCCTTCGGATTTGGCACTGATGGGAAGGAGCGGCTGGCCAGCAAACATCCGGAGCTGATACGCTACCTGCCAGACGCAGAGGACCGCGAATGGTTGGCTACCCGAGGTATCATACCGGCCGAAAATCGCAGTTCTCGCTTTTTGTTTCTCATCTACGATGAGGTCTGCCGGCTGCAGCAGACCCACGACTTGTACCGCCACAAGACCAACATAGATCTATCGATGATGCTTACTTTCAACGTGACGGAGAGCATGATCCACAAGATGAAGCTTTTCTTTGTGGATCTCAACATCAAGAGCCGCGGTCTCATCACCAACTCATTCATAATGCCAAATCAACAGACGGGAAACACCGCCAACAACAGTCATCTGAGAAATGCGCTCCTCCAGGGGGCATCTGGCCAGCAGCAGCAGCAACAAACGGTGGCCACTCCCCCAGCTGAGGATTCGGTTTTAAAGGAGCTGCCAGCTGCATCGCCCACTCCCTGCTTGCAAGGCCAAGTCGTGGGTAGCACCACCACGCCGTTGAAGACCAAGCTGGGCACAAGTTCCACCCTGAGCTCCTCGCACGCCACTCTGACGGCGCTGCTGAACAACGGAGGAGCTGTCGTAGGTGCTGCTCCGGGGGTCCCAGCTCCTAGTTCCGGCGGGAAATTTAGAAACTAAGTTGCTTTGCAGTCGCTATAATGTAGTTTGTCCATGAAAGAATCTATTTATTAGCTGCTGGTCTATTTTTGCCGAATTTTGTATCTTAAGTTTTCCATTTCCATATATTTTATCAGCTTTTGTGAATAATGTAGATAAAGTAGTAAGCTAAAGGATGCTTCATTAGTTTTGTTTTCATTAAATAATCTTTGAAAAGTTTATGTACTCGCCGACCATTTGAAATGAATACACATTGAAATAAATATTTGATTTTTATTGAAACTCAATTTGATATACATGTAATATGGGTCTCTTTTTTGGAATTTCTACAGTTATTTTGGGTTCTCAATATAATAATATATATATAATATGTACGATCATATTAATATAATTCACATCTGTGTTTAGTGTTTTACATAGTGTGTACGCAGGTAATCGCTAAGTATTATTATTTATAACAAATAGTTAAGATTTGTATTCTTATAAGCCTTGCTACAGCCCACTCGGCACTTTTGAAGCGCAATCCTCCCCAGGACCCAGATCCTTAAACCCAACGCTACACGCTGATATGGTGTTATTTTTACAGTGTTCAAAGTACTCGTCATTTATCATTAAACCAACCGACTACCGGGTAGTAGAGTAGTACTATTACGTAGTATTAGAATTAGATGTAGTAGAAAAGACCGAATAGACCTAAGAGTAGATTATAAAAGCAGCGAAACAGCCGCTCTGAAAAAATAGCTCCGATATTGAGTAGTTTTAATTTTGAGATAGCACAACCATTTAAGTTTTCGTTGCCCAACTGGGCTTCATATATAAAACTTCATAAACTTGGGCAAGTCAACAGCCAGATTGTGAAGAGTAAACACCCTACTATAGATCGAAAAGCAAGTGTACCCTGACTACGAGTTATGGGGATTATCTGGTACTAAGAAGTATTCTTTATAAGCAACATCTAACAATATGAAAGCCCGCAGCTGCCCTTTAAACAAATTCAAATATAGTAACAGAGTAGCTAGGGTCCTATAAGAAGGGGATGTCCTTTATCTGATCTTGGGATTATCCATTCTAACCATAATTAGTGTCAAAAGTGAGCCTGTCTGGGGACAGTTAAAGTTTTCCACAATGTAAGTACCCTAGGTAATACGACTCCAGATCCAGTGTAAGCCTTGTATAAATTAATTTATGTATATATATATAGATATATGCTTTGTAACTTTAGTTTGAAACTCCAAGTCATTAGGCTGAACATTGATTGGGATAAATATTACGAGTAGATCTATACACAAGTTCCGAAAATGTAAATTTTTTCACTTTTGTTCTTAAAACAGAGATTGTCCTGTTTGAGTGGCTGAAGATATCATTTAGTTGGTTTTGTTCTTTGGTTTTGAGGGTTGAGAGCAGAGGATAATTAGCAGGAAGGAAGAGTTAGTGGGAAGGATGTCGTCTATTTGCTGTGTTGCAATCAAATCCCTACCATAAAACTACTACAGTAAATTCGTCTTAATCACGCGATACAACTCACTTCACATCCACACAAGCACGCACCCATAAAGATTGTCGATTTAAATTAGATTTCGATTTTAGATTCAGATTCGTTTTCATTTTCAGTTTAAGATCTAGATCCAGATTTATGATGCACAGATCTCAAAGAACTCGTTTTTGGGGGGCAGTTGAAACCTTAGCGGGTTCTCAGCTGTTGGGTTATTATTTTTTTTTTATTTATTTTAAGAGTTTTGCATTAGCGCAACATTTAAATAACACTTATTTGAATATATTGTATGCCTCTGTTTAGCTACCAAGCCTCTGTCCTCTTCGTTGCCTCGATATTTCAACATTATTGTTTTTCGTTTGGTGCCACATTCCATATTCCACTTTCCAATTTCCCGATTTTCTAATTTTCCCATTCGAATGCAAACAACATTTTAAACTTTCACAAACACAACAAGCAAAAATATATAAACCTGTGTATTTATATTATTTCTAAGCTTCTGGTACTCTCGATTCCTCAATTATTGTGCTGTCTGATATATATTTTGGTAGTGCTGCTCCCTAACTGCCTAACCGAACCCTACTTACAAAGCTCTCTCACCAGGAATTTAGATTTTCATTTAGTGTAACATAAACCGATCCTTCCAGATCTCCTGCCAGCCTTAGCTAAGCTCATTTAACTATTTCTAATACATACACTTTGGGGAGGGAAAATCTTGTTATGCGGGGGCGGGGATTACGTGTGTAAAGCCATTGTGGGGGAGGGAACAATATTTATCGGATATCCAAGTACCCCTGGTCTTAGACGCTAACAAATTGAGCTTGCAGCTTGAGCGCAAGTAACTCCGGAGTGGCCTCCTGCTCCATCCGGCACTGCTGCGGGTTGTTCGGTCAGGGGGAGTTGTCAGAGTCGGAGCCACCGTAGCTGTGCATCGGGAAGAGCGGGTACCAGCCGTTGATGTGCTGCCCGATGTTTACCTTGTCCAGGTTCACCTCCGTGCCGCCCAGTCCCTGGTTGTGCTCGAATCCCACGCACCGCTGCCACACCATGATGACGATGTTGCGTCCAAAGACGTCGGAGCTCTGCGATTTGCATGGAAATTCGTTTAAGTTTGATTCGTTGGGGAATATTACGGTACGGGTAATTACACGGTGCAAGTCACCTGTAATAAAGGTTAACCCTCTGTGTGGCCAAAGTCCTGACTCTCTTCAGGCTTTTGAAAATTTTTTAAAATAATAATAAGATAAGTACTTATTTTAAATGATGGTATCTTTATATTTATTATTGCCTCTACTATAAATATTTAAAATAAATTATTTGCAAAGGAGCTTGGCCATGCAGAGGGTTAAAGGTAACACCTGCTGGGCGCGTAAATTGGCCTTGCGGATGCGAGCTTCCCCGTCCGGACAGCAGCCATTAATCGCATTACAATGCAGGCACCCGGTAATAACATCCTGACATGGCCCTGGTCAGCTTCAGTCTCTGATTCAACGCCACCACCACCGCCATCATCATCATCATTGTCACCTGGCACGCGTTACAAAAAGGGGCCATTTGCTCACCTGGTACTTAATGGTCTGGCGGTAGAAGGGCTCCGCCGAGTGGCGCACAACACGCGTCTTCTTCTTGTGCCGCAGCCGGTCGCCGTCCTTGATGTAGCACTTCACATAGGTATCCGGTGGCGTCTCGCAGTCCTCGTTGACAATGTTACGGGCGCAGATTAGCTGCAACAACGAACCGGTAGTAAAAACGGGCCAATAAAACGCCTGTATGTGATGTCATGTACAAGAATGTAAAGGTGACTCCTAAAAAGCTTCACCAAATTCCTATTTCAATAAGTACGAATACCCTTACAAGGAGGACTCTTCATCGATGGTATAGAACAAAAAAAAATCCTAAGAACTTACCTCGACCTCCACGTTGCCCTTGATCTTGACGAAACCCATCTTGAGCTCTCCGTAACGGGCGGTGGTTAGGCGGTAGCCCTTGGGATGAATCTGGGAGGGACCCAGCTTCAGGCCGTAACTGGACTCTCCGCCTGTGATGGCGGACACATTGACATAGCTGCCGCTCAGGGTCTTCACTACGCTCTGTTTCCGCTGCGGGCTGTCCGGAGCCAAAGTGGAGCTTTCGGATCCCAATCCCGCTCCACTCCTCTGATAGATGCTGCCTTTGCGGGTGGGCGTACCGCCCAGGGGTGGCGTCTCCGTGACCTTGGCCACGTACATACTGCCCTTGCGTTGAAGCGTGGTGGTGGTGGTCGGAGCCGGAGTCTCTCCTAGCTGGAACATGCTGCTCTTGCGGGGCTGCAACTGACCTGTGGACAGCAGTTGGCTCTGCCGGGTTGGCGAGTCCTGGGCCGCCACATTGGACACTGATGCGGCTTGCTTGAGTCGGGACAGAGCCTGCTTGGGACTCTGAGGAGGCAACTGGCTTCCCGAACCCTTCCAGCGCGGACGGTAGCGCTTATCCTCGTCCTCCGAGGGGGGACTGGTGTCCGTGTTGCCCACGCCCGGTGGCAGGTGTTGCTGAGCCTGGAGCTGCAGCTGCTGGAGGTGCTGCAGCTGTTGTTGGTGTTGCTGGTGCTGCTGGGACAGGTCCAGGATGGAGCTCTTGCGGCTGTTGGGTCCGCTTGGCAGGCCAACGCGACTGGCACCTAGTCGAGGCGGGAAATCAAGGGGTAAGCTCAGGTCTACACTTTACATGTCGGACGCTTTTGAACTCAACTCAAAGTACCAAGTATTACTGGCAGAGATGGGATAAGATAATTCTCAATTGTTTGCCAACTTGGACTTCACTTTCGAGATATAGTATTCCATTTTAAGGGCATTAGAGCATTGGATCATCTTATCCCATCACTTGCCTTCGGGAGGACTGAGAATGAAAGGTGTTACTGGACTAGGTCTAGGTCTAGGACTAAGAAAAGAAAGGGAAAGCTACGTGGAACAAAACATGCAGCTACACAACACCTAACTTAGAGATACTTTTAACAATTATTTAAGATTTTTTAGTTTTTGTTTTTATTTGTAGTACCTTAGAGTTGTGGTTAGGAATATTTAGTTTGATTTTAATGCCGGTGACTATTTTCTAAATAAAATTTTTAATATAATTTCTTTTTTTTAGCTCCAAACTCAATGCCTTAAGATTAGACCCAAAGCCTTAAGATTAATGATCTCCTACTATACCGAGATAAAACAAAGTATTAACAGTCTAAATTTTAGAAAAATATGGAAGCAATTTTAGTCCCATGTCAGTTTCAATTTGTAATTTCTATAAATTTTGTTGTACAAACAATTTTCCCAGTTTCGGCCTTATTGTAGCTTTAACTAAAGATGCCTGAGAGCGATATCGACACCGCACTTCTGACGATAGGTAATGGTCCTGTGAGTCCTTTGACAACTTTTTACCTTTGTCTTTTGACAGACAGGCTACGGATGCGGCCAGCTGATCATTCTCGCTGTGAGCTTTGCCACCACCATGTTCTCGGTGACTGAGTCCATGGGCATCGGCTATGTAATAGTGCGGACCTCCTGCGAGTGGTCCACCTCGAGGGAGGAAAAGACGTTCATGGCGAGCGCCCTTCTCGGAGGTATGGTGGCCTCCGGATTCTTTCTGGGCTTTCTGGCGGATAGGTATGGTCGGAAGTTCACGATAAGGGCATCGCTAGTGGGTGCACTCATATTTTCATTCGTTACGGCGTTGATGCCGAACCAGTACGCCTTCTCCACCACCCGTATTGTTGTGGGTCTTTTGTAAGTCAAATCGATGGACTGATAGTGATTGATAATTTCTTCGCCTCACATTATCACTCCGACAGCCTTTCCGGTTCGGCATCGCTCGCCATAGGCTTCCTCATCGAGTTCCATGCGCCAAGGTGGCGGCCGAAAGTCTCGATGCTGGTCAGCTTTGCCGTGGGCTTTGCCCTGGTCAGCTGCCCGCTCTTTGCCATGATGCTGCTCCCTCAAAATGTCTCAGTAAAAGTTACCGACAATTACGTGCTGCAGGACTGGCGCTTTCTCGTGATGACCCTTGCACTACCAGGAATTGTTGCCTTAATTTCAATTTCCTTCGTGCCGGAGACTCCGTATTTCCTATTGTCCGCGGGTCGCATGGAGGAAGCTATAGAATCTTTAAAATGGGTGGCGAAGATGAACGGTAAAATGTGGGACGATTTGAAAATAGAGCTGACGCCACTACATCGAGACACCTTATTGGAAAACATGTCCGTCTGTAAAGAGCTTTTCTACGAAACATTCCGGCTTTTTCGACCCCCGTTTACCTGTAGGTTTGTGGGGTGTTTGCTGATTCTGTTTGGAGTATTCTTTAAGTGAGTTTTTCAAAATTTTGATAACATATATTAACATAATATAAAATATTTATAGACTGATAAAAAGATGGTCCTTGTTTCCATTTTAGCTCAGTTGGCATGGGAGTGTGGTATCCGATCATCCGTAATACACCTGATACTGGAAAACCTCAGCGGCTGTGCGACAACCCTGCTATTACCGGAAAAGGAAACCATTCATCATCAGACGAAGACAAGGCGTGCAACGACCAGTTCACGAACTTTCACGACCCCATCTTTTACGGGTGCGCCTACCTGGTATTCTACGCGGTTGCTACCGTCCTCGTCCTCTTTATACCCCGAAGATATGTCATGGCGCTGCACATCGGTACCGGAGCCATACTGGGATTCACCTTAAACTTTGTGACAGATCCGCTCGCTGTGTTGCTGTGCTTCACTGGCCAAATATCAGTACCAGGAGTTCTAGTATCATTATCATCCTCGGTGATGGTCGACCTCCTGCCCGTCCATATGCGTGGCAAGGCGCTCTGTTTGGGAAGATCTCTGGCCAGGCTGGGATCTGTGGTAGGTTCCATTCTGGTGGGCTTGGTGATGAAGGTCTCCTGTAATATTACCATCAATATCTTTGTCGTCTACTTGGCGTGTAAGTGAATCATTTTTCCCATCGTCCCATCGTTTTTTATCCATTCTTTTTTTTAGTTTGCACTGTTGTATGTCTACTACTGCCTAAAGGTCCCTGAAAATTGAAGCCACCTTTGCTGATTTGTTATCAGAGATTGCGATGTCCCAATGGACCCATTCTACCATTTTTCTGTATTTTAGAGAATTTCCAAATCCTGGATAGCATGCTTGTTTTTAAATTTCTTTCACGTGCAACAATATTTTTTTTATGAATAAATCGATTTTGAAAAGAAAAATCTATAATCTATGAAATGATCCATGGCAGAGATTGATGATGTCTTTAACATGCTCGGTAAGCGGCTCTCTCATCCTGATCCAGAGTAATCCTGATTCTGTCCCAGGCTTCGGTCGGATGCAGAGAACCATCTTTGTCGGCTGCCTCATGATGCAGATATGGTTCACCACCGAGCAGCTGGGAGTCGGTATCGTCCTCATGGCCGCCGCCTGTGACCTCGATATGGATGATTACAAGCTGGCATGGTTTTCGGCTCTGACCTTCGCGGTTCAAATTTTAGCTTTCATATTTTGGGGTGTTCTAGTGGATGCCTTGGGCAGGCGAAAAATTATCATGTACACAGGTGTGACCTCCGTCGCCTGTTCTATCCTATCTGCCGGAATGCCTGAGTTTTTGTCATTTTCTGCATTACGTATCGTTTGCTCTGCTTTGTGAGTTTTAAGATCTTTTCTTGATATATGTAGCATATTTCCTATGTTAGTATAGCGGCGCCTGTAATTTCGTTGATGACGTACATGGGGGAGTTTACGAAACAGTCGTTGCGACCAAAGGTCCTGAATTTCCTAAGCTACGGTGTGGGGATCAGCTTCATCCTTGTGCCGAGTAAGTAGAGAATCATATTTTATTTTCCATCTAATAAGTCTAGATATCAGGTGTGGCCTATTTTCTTTTGCCTCTGAAACTGCCGGGCGCCCAAAACTGGCGGATCCTGCTGCTTATCAATCAGGTGCCCGGAATCATAGGACTGACCATTATTTCTTTTATGCCGGAGAGCCCCAAGTACTTTTTGTCTGTGCACCGACAGGAAGATGCCATGGAAGTCATGGAGAGGTGCTGCCGCCTGAACAAGGGAAAGGACACGAACCTGGAAAGTCTGGGGGTCAAGGAGCTTACCCAACCTCGACTGCGTGCCCAGTCGATCAAGTAAGAAGCTGCTTGGCCAGAAAATTTTAACACTTTTGCCTTTAAATTTCTAGGACAGCGACATTTAATTTTTGTCCAAACGTAATGGCCATGTTTAAAGAGCACACTCGCATAATGGTCATCTCAATGCTTGCCAAAGCGATCATGTCCGGCATGTAAGTGGAGAAACTCGGTCTTGATTTGGATTCATTTTAATTCTTAGAGGTTTTGGACTCCAAGTTTGGATGCTGCGAATAAGATTTACCATGAAATCTGATGGCAATAATGGCCAGACAGTCTGCCAACACGTCCAGAGTGACGTGAAATCGGGAAAGCACGAGGTGAGCTAAATGCATGTTTCTTTGGCACTGATATCTGAAACGTTTTAACACAATTCTAGTGCCATGTAAGCAGAAGTCAGCTTGAGGATCCCATAATCAATGGCTTCCTATTATCTGGAATCTTCATTTTAGCGAGTTTTCTGCTCCTTTTTATGGGACGTCGGCTGGTTATCCACACCTTCATAGCCATTTCGATGATGGCCAACATTTCGGTGAACTTCTTGGCCGAGGACACGATAATATTGTTTGCTCTCTTCCTGATTCCTGATCCCTTAATGTGTAATCTGAGATTAGTGCAGACTGTGGTCATTGATATGATACCCACACATTACAGGTTACTCAGACACTCTTCCCAATTTCATGTTAATTTACGTCACTATTTTCAAGGGCTAAGGCGACTTCAGTGGGAAATGTGGCGGGACGTTCTGGAATTCTATTCACCAGTTTGTTTATGGGATACACCTTGACGTGGAACTGTCATGTAGCTTTCAATACCTTTTTAGTGATATCCTTACGTGAGTGATAATCCTAAAATAATATCTAATACTTCAAGAACCTTTCTACAGTCGGTGCTCTTCTTGTGAGCTTTTTGCCTTCGGAATCTAAGTTAAGGGAAACCACCAAATATTGACGTACCCGATTATTAAATACATACCTATTATTACCATAATCCTTTCTTATTAATATATTTTGCAATACTTTGCGATCTTTAAACGGTCTACACGGCGTATACGTGATATGCGTAATTATTTGACAGTCGAGCTTCATTAAAACTTTTTGGGCGGTGGAGTGGGGGGCCAAACGGGAAAAGGACATGGCAAGGACACCGCCTATGCTAGGCCGTGGTAGGCTATCAGCCCTGCCAATCAGTCAATCAATCATTCAATCAATTGGGCGCGCACAGCAGAACGCAGCACGAAGTAAAAATTTTATGTCCCCCCTTCCTATCAAGACGAAAGAACGAAAGGATTATGGCGAAAGTTGGAATATTTTTGTACACCAGGCAAAAATAAAATAAACGTCAAATAGACTTGGAGACAGCTGTCGTTTGTGTGGTGGTAGGGGGTGTTCACTGTACCCTGTACACAGGATGTGAAAGTACGTAAAAGGCGAAACGGAAAAGGAGGCCGGAGAAAGGGACTGGGAAAATGGAAGAAAGCCAGGCAAACCATAAGCGGCTTAATAATAACTGTCTTGCAAAGGAGAATCGAAAACGAAATCGAGTCGTACGGAAAAGAAAGTAACGCGAAAGTAAAACGAATAACGGAAACGAAAAATGAGAACTGTGAATGGAGAGTCGAGAATTGGAAAAAGCATATTGGCAGAGCAAGGAGAAAAACTTTTTCTGCTGAACAAGCACAATAATAGGGTTCGCCCCGACGACCTAAAGGAGCTGTCAATTCCCCGTCGCATGTACTATACATATATAAAAATGTACCCATTTCCCCACCTATGCTAATATGTGTGTGTGTGGAAAGCTAAAAATTTCCCAGACAGCTGCCGTGCTTATTTTCATATTTAACGGCTTGTTTGTGGCATATTTCGGCTTTGTTCTGTTATCGCGTCTCTCCGTTTATTTTTTATTTTACTTTCTTTTATACTCTTTTAAGGAGTATACGTCTCTTACCTTTATTAAAAATTCTTAAAAATCAGGATGGGATTAGGCCTATCTTTTTGACTCGAAATAGCCGTATCTGTGTGTCAGTCTATTACCATTCCTGTAGTTGCTTTCTTGGGTGTTAGGGTATAGAAGACCCGTCTTTCGTTACTTTTTTCCGCATTTACTTTCTTGGCTTTTAAAAGTTAATTTCAAGGCTGAGCTATTTCGCCGGATTCCCGTTGAAGGGTTTATGAGGGCGCCGAACTGTGGCGAAGCCAACAGGTAATAAGGCGTTTCTTAGAATGTGCCCATGACCCCCTGAAAAAAGTACACCCCCCATCCGTAAAAAATAACAAAAGACCCCTGCCCTCCAGCAGGAGCGGTGGCTTTGCATTTTAAACACAAAAATTTGTTGTGAAGCTTGGTGTGTGTTGGCTTTCCGAGTGACGACTCCCTCCGAGTTCTTTGGCGATGTGCTGTGAAAATAGCATCAATAAGCTTAAATAAGCCCCGGCATCAGAAGTTTTCTTGTGTCCTGGGACTGTCTCCACTGGATTATCAAGCGAGTGTGATTGTGGGTGCGTGTTTATTTATACATCTAATACGATTTGCACATACGAGTGGGTGTGTTGTGCGGAGTGCAGAGTGTGCGGTGTGTTGAGTGTGAAAGTAAGCATTAAGCGTTAATTAAGTGGCGGGCATGCAGCTAAATGGAATCGAAAAAAATTCCAGGAAAACACAGTCTCAGCTAATTAAGAGGGAAAACAGGCAGGCCGAAACCAAAATGCCAAAATGCCAAACGCAACTCAATCTCAATCTCAACTTAAGTTCATTTTGCATTCTTACCAGTGGTGAGTGGTGATGTAGTTTTTGGTGGTGTAGTTTATAGTGTTGTACTTGTAGTATCGTTGCATTTTACTTTTATTTACTCTTACACTTAATAAATAATTTGCCATAGCACAAGCGCTTGCCAGCTAAGCTCAATTTGTTGGGATTCTTGGCTGAACTTGGTTTTCTTGTATAATTTACAAAGGGTTTTCATTCTTCGGATTTATTTTTATTTTTTATATTATTTTTGGTTTGTCAGTATTCTGTATTGTGGTAACTGATGGTAGTGGTGCAGTGTGGTTGGTGGCTCATTCAAGAATGAGTTCCCCCTTTGTTGGGTTAAGCAAAGGAATTACTGAGAGATACTATTATAGGTATATATACGTATGTAGACAGGTGCTCTGAGGGCTTTAAATAAGTGGCTTTTTAGTTATTTAGTGCTTTATGCGTAAGTTGAATTTTTTTTGCTTTTAATTAAATCTTGTGTGACTTGGCTGGGACTTTGCATTTTCGTTTAGTGTTTGTTCCAGTTAGTGTAGGGTGTGTCAAAGCTTTGATAATGCGACACCGATATTGTGGCTAATAGAGGGAAAGACATGGAAGAAGACATTAGAGAGTGATAGACAGAGTGTTAAATAATTGTATGTTTTTTATAGCGAGTACGATGCAATGTCAGATATAGTGTCGGATACAGAGGGTGAGCGAAATAATCATCAGAATCAGACACAACTAGCAGCAAGGCACAGTTGAGGATTGTGTTTCAGTGAGAGAGAAAGAGAGAGGAAATTCAGAGCAAGAGAGATAGAGACATAGGGATATAGACTTTATAGCAGTGGAGGAGTACTATTAGCAAGGATTAATCGGCCCAGCGAGGTCCGGGTGGAGGAGGCCTAGAGGATCTCTCAGTTGGAAGGGCACAGTACATAGAAGTAAGTATATTTAGCATTATAGATCCTTCCATCTTCTTTTTGGAGACATGAAATAAGGATTCTCCAAGGATAACTTGCTTTTAACTTAAGAAATTATATTAACACTGTAATTATTGCCATTAAAGCTTATGAACCATTCCTTATTTCATGTCCTTCAAAATGTAATAACCCCTTAACCCCCAAAAATCAAAAATAAACATAAATTAAACCCCTCTACTCACGTCGCGATCCCATGCGCTTGTGCTGCTCAGTACCCAGGCTCATAGTCCTGCCCAGTTCGCCGCGCACAGCCTTCAAGGATTTCAAGATCTCATCCGGATCGCGTCGAGCCACGGACGAACGGCGCCTGCCCACCAAATAAGATGTGGGCGGCGTGGCCATGGCGTCCTCCTCCAGCCGATTCTTTTCGGCATCCTGGAAGCTCGATCGACGCGAGCCCGGCAATGAGCGCGAGAAGTCCTTGCCCAGCTGGTAGACCTCCACCTCCATGGTCTCCGACTGTGAGGAGCCGCGCCGCGAGCCGGCTATCCAGGCATGGTCGGGATGCAGTAGCGAGGTACCATCTCCGATGGAGTCTACATCATCGGAGATGGAGCGCTGCATGTTGTAGTCTCGTCTCAGCAGTCGAGTCACATCTCCACATGGAGCTCCGGCCCCGGCAGCGATGGATCCCCGAGGCGAAACACTCGGCGACTTGCTGATGCTGATGCCCCTCAGCCCCTTGGGGTCTTCCAGCCGACACCAGATGGCCTGGTCGTCCAGGAAGGCCTGCTGCAGCTCGATGCTGCACTCGCCCAGAAAGATGGATTCGGTGTGGGGCACCAGGTCCCACAGCTGGATGTCTATGTAGCGATCCATCAAGGTGTCGGCCTTCACATGGCCGAAGGTCAACGTGGCGTTCCAAATGGGATTCTGGGTGGGTCGGCTGACCTCCGTTTGTTGCACGCTGCCATCACCGCTGGAGAAGGAATAAAGGACCTCAGGAACTATCTCCTATTAGTCACATCTTACTTACCACTTGGGCAAAATGCGGACCTTGGCATAGGCCTCTGGCATATTTCCGTGGCCGTAGGCCTCGTCCCTCAAAGCCAGGTCGTCGCCGGCCATCAGGGAGACCACCAGCTCGTTCCGCTCGTTGTGGTACCAGACCTGGATCTGGACGCGACCGGTGACCAGCTTCTCGCGGGCAATTTGCTCCTGCAGCGACCAAAAAGCTTGTTAGTGGACTCTACCAGTTAGTCTCACCCGTCGGGGCGAGTTCCTGCCCCGCTTTTCGGATCTGAACGATCGCTAAGGAGTTTCGTATAGAGTATATCTGGACAAGATTCAACGGCCTACGGCCTATTGCCTAGAAAGCATTTGTGCGATAGTTTTTCGCCTATTTACAATTGTTGTCCTGCGGAACTTGGCGTGTTTGTCTCGCCTCGTTGTGTGGGTTTGTGTTCTGGATGTGTACATAACTGAACAGCAAATTAAAGCAATCAAAACGTAAATAAAACTAATTAAACGAGTGAGAACAAAGGGGGTGGTGGGGCTGGAGGGGTAGAGTGGGTGGTGGTGCAGCATGCTGGCTAAATTGCAGTGTGGATTGCCCTCGGGGCCTACTACTCAACAACACAAATACGAAAACACTCGAAAACACAGGCGCAGGCAACATAAATATAATGCAAATTTTGATGCACAACACCGTGTGTGTGTGTAGGTGGGTATGGAAGTGGGAGGTATTTACAAAAACACACACATTCATTCTGCAGAGATAAACAAAGGGAACCGCAAATGCAATCTGCCCCAGGGCGGTGTCTAGTGCTTTGTATGCCCCAAAACGGAAGTCATTGCGGTTCTGTGGTGCATGAAGGTCCTGCGATTGTTCCTAGTGCCGCATTAGGTGCTTCTACATGTGGGTACACCGAAAGTACACCGAACACCCCAAAGGAGCTAGTCCTTAATTGTGATTTAAATTTTTTTAGGAAACACAGAAACAGAAGCTCCTTATTAATACCCAGCTCGGTTAAACACTGACTACTTTTAATATTTATGACCTTGTCGGTTCTATTGAAATCCCTCGATTCTCTCGTTTTTTCCCCGTGTGCTAGTTGATAATATCGAGGCTTCATAACATATTCATAGCGTGTACATGTGAAACAGCAACACTATGCCGAATTGACTTTCTCCAATGCTGGATTCTCTGCAGCGGAAGCCGCCATATTGCAATAACGTGTAGCAAGCGGAAATGGCAGCCACACACTCACACAGACAGACATACGCTCATGAAACTTCGAACTGTTGCTGGGTAACTTTTTACGAGCAAACAACAACAAAAAAGAAAGTAAAATATTACATTATACGGCGCGCACTTCTCATCTGTGGAAATCGAATTCGTGTTGGGACTCTTTTATAAGGGAATCGGCATCGGGGAAGGGGAAGGGGTCGCGCAAAGGAATCGGGGAATTTATTTTTATCTACAGGTAAGCAGCAGGCACATGTACTTGCTGGATTATTGGAGTTTATCAGGCATCAGGCAGGCGCTGCGGCGATAAAAGCCTAAGCACTTGAAAACTTTCCACCCAGAATGGGCCAGGCCGAGGCCGAGGGCCTGTCGATAATAATAATGCGGATCCAGGTTCCAGTATCCCGGGCTGAATTGTTGTTAAAAGTTTTCTAATTTTCGACATTTCGAGCATATTATGCCTCCCAGCTGTCAATTAAAGGCTCCATCACCTGTTGCCGACAAGTCCCCGGGTGGGTGGGAGTACAAAAGTCGCTGCTAAGGTCCTTAAAGGGAACGAAATGAAAAACTGGCAAAGGAACTTGTACGGCAACTTGACACCTGCCCGGCGGTTTCTCAGGTATTCGATGGAAAGTTTCGGCTTGGCGACAAAAACAACCGCAAGCCACGGGGAATACGGCTGCTTCTGTTTCTCCATTTCTCCGTTTCTATGATTCTCTGCGGTGCCCCTTTCTCCCCCTCAGAAAGATAACTCGATGTGACACAAAAGTTTTGGCGACAAAAGTTGCGTATGAATAATAAACACAGACATGCCAGTGAATGGAAAATACAGAGATACACACAGTAAGATAGAGAGATATAAATTGTATAAAAATTATCCACACAATTAAATATTTCATATGCTAAATGTACAGAGAAGGAAACAACGAACAAAGTTTCATACAATAGATATTTACAGAGTCTTAAATAAGCTGGAAACAAAATGGCGGATTCTCCATGTTCTTTTTCTCAGTTTTCGTAAATCTGAAAGGGGGAATCCGTCTTATGTTTCCAGCTGTGATGCTAATAGAACTCATAACGCGTCATATGCAAAATGATTACATTCAATAAATCAATCAATCATCGCTTGGAGTCGAGGTGGCGTGGAAAAGCAGGGTAGCTCGATAAGTCAATCACACTGCAATCAATTGGATGACAGTCATATTACACTGTTTTAAATTTGTACATATAGATTATATATTTTGCTTTGTTTCGGCCTTGCCGCCTCGCTTTTGAGGTTTCTGTATCAGGTTTTTGTTCAAGTTCGGTTAAATGTTTTCTTGCATTTTGGTATTTTCTGTTTATGTAGCCATAACTCGTGCCAGCTGGGGTTACATTTTGGTTGTACAGGAAATGAAAATTAAGTTCATATACAATCAGCAATGTATTGGTTATTGGTTGTTTATTTATATAGTATTTATCGTTTTTAGTTGCAATTGCAGTTTTGAGGTTTTAAGGAGAAATGCTAATCGATTTAAGATTCAAGATTCAAGAGCCACTAAATGCTAGTCAAACAAATTTTGTAGGCTTAGGCGTAGGTTTTATGCAAATAAGGCCAAAATGCAAACGAAATCAAAGTGATGTACTCAAGGACTCTAAGGAGAGGAAACCGAACCGAACCAAAGGAAACCAAAGCAAAACCAGAACTCAAATGAAATCAAAACAAATGGAATCGCAAATCAGGCAAACCTAAAACAGTACTTAACGTTGTATTGTGTTGTGTCTTTTATATTTTCTACCATAATTATTCTCTCTGCGATTCTCTCCAATCGCCAGTGTTGGCAGCCTGACGGATCGTTTTCTATATCTATATATGTATTTATGAAAAATTGGGTACATTGGCGCACAATAAGCTTTTGTTTCGATAATAAATGCACACTGAAGGGCATCGTTACGGGGCGCCTTGGATCGCCTCGGAAGTGCAGAACAAATACAACACTCTAGCTGATAGTTCTAGCCGGTAGCTGACAGATATGTATATTTATATATATAGTATTTGTGGGATATACAGGGCGGGGCAGCGTCATAATTAAAGAGTCGGGTGGTTTATGCAAAGCCAAACTGAACAGATCCAAAACAAGCGAAACGAGACGAGAAAGCGTTAGAATCGAGACGAAAGTAAAGGTAAACATTTGCTAAGCGAAAGCCAAACAAAAGCTCATAAATTGACAGACAGAGAGAGCGTGGAAGGTGGAAATTGTATACAGGAGGAGAACAGGGCGTATACGCAACGCAACAAACGAATATGGAATCGGAATAGGAATCGGAATGTGGAACTTAAAACGAAAGCGAACCGAAAAAGAAAAACAAAAAAACAAGAAAAAAGTTGAAAGCAAATCGTAATGCAGCATTACATAAAATCAAAAGGAGAAAGCGCACTTTACAATAAATATTATTTTTGAATGGGTCTTTACAAAATATATATGGGTATCTTATGCGAATATACGAATAGAACCTGGCTATGTTACAAGAACCTGGCTTGGCCAAGGGAAGGGGCTAATAATAGTAGTTACTTTTCTAGATTGTTTTTCCACTAGCTGGGGGTTGGGTTCTGGGTGTGCTATAACTGTACAAGGTATCTCTAAACAAAAAAAAACTGAAGGTATTCCGAGTAGACTATATTGTATATTTATAATGGTGGGGAGGCTCAATGTACAGGGTAGTACTGTGTTAGAGTTGCTTTGTTCATTTACCATTTGAGTGATGGCTTCGATGGGTTGGAGGGTTGCAGGGTTTGCTGGATTGCAGGCTGGTAGGGGCTGGAACTGGGGCTAAAGGAGACGTGGTCCGCTGTTGCTGCTTTCAAAAGGATAAAGCAAGTCCTGCCAAGAGATATCTCAATTCGCACGCTTTTGCGTTTTGTTTTTGCAGTTAAATAGAGAGACTTTATTTTCACATTTCTTTTTTGTTCTTCTGCCATTCCAGAATCAGATTCAGAATTAGATTTAGAGTTAGTTTTTAGGTTTCTAGCACATTGGTACGCTGGTATACGCATTAGTGACTAATAACTGGATGTTCAAAGTGGTTGTCTTATTTACGTTTTGTTTACACATTATATATTTTTGTATCGTATATAGCATAGATATTGGATTGTGGATTAATCTCAACCTCGAGCTGCTCTGTTAGTGCATGTAATCGTTAAAAAATCTCACATCAGTTTTCACTTCTCTAGGGACCCTATTCCTCTCCTGCCCAAAAACGCGACCATGTGCTGTGATTTTGTAAAGGTTTCATAAATCTAGTACAATAATTCAGTTACAGGTATAGTTACAGTTAACAGTAAACAGTTACAGTTACAGTTGCAGTTTCTGTTACAATTAAATTTAGTTATTACGATTACAGGTATATAATATATATATATTAGGTATATTTATAGGTAAGTCATGTTCGTGTGTAGGCTATACAAAAGTATCGTGATCGAATTCAATCAAAGTTATCACCCATCTGACAGGAGTTACATAGCTACAAAGCATCTGGTAAAGGTTTTTGGTTTTATGCGAATAATTTCAGTTACTTTCTTTCTTAGTTAGTTGATTGGAAAATGATTCTCTTCTCCTAGCACTTGGTTTCCATGATTCTTAAATACGAATAAGCTATTTTATGTTATATGTAGGTGGGCTCCACAATGGTTGCATCCGTTTCCGTTTTCGTTTTCGGTTCTGCCTCTGCTTCCGTTTCCGCTTTTTTTTAAACATTTACAAACATGGCACTAACATTGACATACATACACAAATACAAACGCGTATAGGTGTAGCATATAGAGAGGTGTTAATTACACGGATAGCATATGACTTGTACTTGGATTTCTTGGGTTCATTGGCTTAAAAACACATTTAAACATTTCAACAACAAATACTACTACTTTTCATTTCAATTTCATTTTCTTTCTTTTTTTAGTTTCCAATTCGGTTCGTTTTTTAAATTCATCTTACTAATATTATATATGTATAGGTATATATAGTTAATAACATTTAAAACACACACAAATATCGTTAAACTCTGTTCGCTACAAATTTTCACTAGTAACATTTATAAAGATTTGTATGTATGTATCATATAACTGCATAGGTACGGACCCGAATCTAGGCCATTACATTATCATTGTAATATATCGTAGGTTTTCTGTAGGTCTTGTTCCTTTGTTATTATTGTATCGATTCGTAGAGCTCGTAGAGAAGATTCGGTTCTACTCAAGCGCTATTTGGGGATACGGGAGACTAGCACAAAATTCGTTTCTCCATCGGAGATAGAGCCGAGTGTTAGTGTTATCATAGACACGAACGACCACTAAGTAGTTAAAACTTTATACGAGTACGTTCTCTTAAACCTCTATTGTTTGGTGCTTTGTTCTTACTGTGTCCCGGGGGCAATTGGATTGCCCGCGGGGAAGAAGGCTTCAACCAAGGAAAAAACAGACTTGAAACGAAGGTCTCCACATCTTTGAGCACATCTATTTAAAATTTAAATACAGTTCTCGCTGACTACGCTTAGCCTTTACGCTTAGTTTATGTATTTTATTAACCGTCTACACACGTTAGTTGGGCATGTTAGTAATATTGTATTAAATATTATGTAGTTTCTCGAATCACTAAGTTCTACCAACACCGAAAAATGAATATATGTGGGTACATTTTGTGGTTATATGACAAAGTATAGCAATGAACACATTTAGCCACTTCGCATGGTAAGTAATCGGTAGTAATCGAAAAGTAAAAACTCGAAACAATCGAAACAAATCGAAAACCGAGGTGGGAACACATATAGAAAATGAAGAAATGTATTACTCATTTAGCTACGTAATTATATTTTGGGTATGAATGTAGTGTTTTTCAATAATCAAAATCAAAATATTAAAATCCAAATCGAAATCGTTGAATCAGTGAGACTAGAAAAGGTGAGTTTAATACGAGTATTTATATATAGGTTTCATATATATCTTTTAGCATGGAAGCTGCAATCAAATACGAAGAGTTCAATTCATTTTGTGAGCACTTTGTGAAAGCTGAAATCGTGTGGAAAACTGCTGCTGCGAATGCTGAAGCTGCATTTAATAGCTACTTTATATATGTAGTATATATGTATTTGGTAATTTGTATTTTAGTTTGGCTTGCTGCACGTAGCTCGGTGTATTTCTTTTTATACTTTTCATGTTTTTTAATCAACATTGTACTGCGACTGCCGCCGCAGCTCAACTCCTTACACAAACGAAATATAACAAAATAGTTTTATACCGGAGTTTTTGGTAATTTCCGTCTAGTTGGCGATGCTGGTGATTTGTCTGTGGTGGTTTCGGGTTCTGTTTTCATATTTTTTATTTTTTGCGACAATGTTTTCGACAAGAGGTAACAAGAAACGAGAGCAACAAACGAAAATTATGTAAATGTCATAGTTGTTTACTTACAAGGTATATCTTATAGGTTTGGTATGCAGAGTATTTACAGGATGTGGAGCTCTTGTGTCGCCACAAACACTTACCCGCTATGAGGCCCAGGCCCACTGGCCCGTCGCCCGACCGTCTGGGTCCACTCTGCCCGCCGGCGTTGCCCGGAGGAAGGTTCTCGTCGAACAGATCACACATGCGGAAGTCCGTGGCGTGCTCCACAAGAAGCTCTACAATGTCCCCAGTGCGGTCCATGATGGAGCAAACCTCCTCGAAGCTTCTGTCGATCAGAGACATGCCGTTCCACTCGAGAATCTGAATGTCAAAATACTTTATTACTATCAGCTGCCCCTTTAGGCCCTCTAACCATATTTTAAAAGTCAATAAATTCGGATGAGTTTAGAGTGGAAAGCCTCTTTTGTGTTTACTAGTAATTTTTGTTAAAACCCATAACTCATGGCAAGTGGCCGTGTTTACAGAGTGTTGAAAATATGCCATCCAGAGATCATCAATCATGTGCTATTAATTTCGGGACGACAGCTGGCAGAATTTGCACTGCGGTTGGCCGCGTTTCGGCACCCTTTTCATCATCATTTGCTAGCCAGGCTTAAAGCCCCAGGACACCCAACCCCACTTACCTTGTCGCCCTGCTGCAGGCCATTCTTTTCGGCCGCTCCGCCCGGGACAGTCCAAACAATATAGGCGAAAAGTCTGCCATCGGCTCCAGTTTTTCCACCGACGACGCGCATTCCAAAGCCACGTGCTGCATTGCGGGAGGAGTAGGGAAAAATTTAATAAGAACTGGCTCACGAACTGGGCGATTATGTACTGAGACGGGTACAAAATAATCAATAGACGGGCTCTTGAACTGGCCTGGCCGAAAGGAAAATCGGAGACTGTGACTAGGCACGTACTCGGAGATACAGATACAAATTTCGGGCATGTGGCAACAATTTGCGTTGATTTCATTTGCACTTTGCAGTGCCTCGAAACCCAAACGAACCTAGGGAAACTTCCACCAAACTCACATTGCGTATACGCCCCGTTGCCCTGCAAACAGCGAGTGTCTGATAAGTTTTTGTGCTTAGTCAACGTATTTTGGTCTCGTTTTTGGTCCGCAGGATGGATGATGTGTTGCTGTGGATTTTCGAGTGCCTTACTTTGTTTCTTTTCTCTCCCAAAAATTTGTGCTTGTGCGGTCTTGGACCTGAACTTGACCCCTTTTGACATTTATTGCAGCTCAAGTGTGCCAAATGTGTGCTTTCGAGGGCGATCTCATTCAGTGAATTCGTTGGCCAACAAATCCAAACAATTTAATTAATATAATTGCAATTTGGGGCGGGTGCAGTTCGGTCTCAAGTACTTATCATTCGACGCAGAAAACTAATTTCAACAATTTGTGCACCGAAAACTTGCGAAAGCGGATTTCCGGCGCTCCCTTTTGAACTCACGGTTCCGAAGCCTGGCAGTTGAACAATTTCAACGATTTGGGTACACAGAGAAAAACAAGGATTTTCAATCATTCACACTACTCTATATATTGCATAGAATTCTTTTCTGTGTGTCTGCTGACAATGGCCAAAAAAGTTAACCAGCCACCGAAGCGGCGATGACAAAGAAATTGTGTCTCGAAGGTGAGCCGGGAAGCAGTCAAGATGAGGAGCCAGGAAGGAGCCTGCAAGCACCACGAAGTGTGGGACAGGACACTGTGACAGCCTGACAGGAGGGCCAAGTTTTGCGCAGGAAATGGCGGCAAACTTGGGCGCCCGGCAGTATGCAATAAAATGTTGCGCATCCGCCATTGCTGTTGATTCAGGCGCATTGATACCCAATTAGGATAAGGCGGCGTTTTTCTCCTTTTATTCTGCCCGTTTGTGTTGAGTGTGTTTTAATCAAAACTTTTTTCCATCTTCTCGCCTAAAGACAGCAATAAAAACGAAATAAATAAAACGCAAATCCTTTGCCTGACAAGCCAGCAAAAAAACAGGAAAAGCGGAAAAGATTATTCATTCGATGACGCAACAGTTTTGGGCAACTCGCGAATACTGGCCATTTGCCTTTAAGCCGGCACTTAACATGGCCGAAATGAGCGCGGGCTGAGTGAAATTTTCGATTCGTTTTGGCCGTAAAAATCATGAGAAGGCACCCGGAATCTGAGCCGTGAGGTGAGGTTCGAGTCCTTTGTCTCATTGTTCTCGGACGGTCGGCTGTCCTTTTCCGTGCGTATTTGCCATTCTTGGCCTGGCCACTTTTATGATACAATTTGTTTGCCGGATGGCCGACAATTTTTTATGTGGCCATCATTGGGATTTAATAAGCCGGCCCAGCCAAACAGCCGGACAGCCGGAGAGCTAACAGCCAACACACACAAAGGTGTGTTTACGGCCGGAGGGTCCAAGGGGTTATTCCTATTTCGGGTATCCCTTTTCTTTGTGGCCTAAGGACCATAAATATGCCGGCAAATTGAATCAACATTTGTATGTAGGTCATTAGGGCCAGGACTTTGCTTTGAAAGCAAATACCCTCAACCCTCAGCAGGATAACAAAAAAAATAAATAAAAACCCGAAAAGGAAAGGCTGACAGACTGGGAAGGATTTTCCCTTTAATTGGAAAACTAACTACCTAAGCTGTGTATTTTGCAACTTTCTACCTTTGGGTTTCTTCTCAAAGTTTTAAAATGTACGTCCTGGCCATTGCAGGTCCTTCCATCCTTCACATGCTCCACATCTTCCTAATGACATTAACTGTGCAAACTTTTAGCTGACACACATTGAACGACTTAATCGATGCCACACCTGCGTTCTGCATCCTCGATTCTGCATCCTTGGGGGAACAGGTTCCGGGAAAGTGGGTGGATGAGTCATGAGCATGAGCGATATAGTGGCTCCTATCAACTGCCATAAAAATTGGCTCTTAATTAAACTAGGAGAGCAAAAGACATGCTAGCGATATCCTGGCTTCGGTTTTCTCTAGAATAAACTAATAAACGAGTTCAATACTGTAACTCAAGGTAAACGCTGAGCTTAAATACAAGATAGAAGAGACAATGTACTTTCGGGCAAGCCGTAATCCTGTTTAGACAAATTTTCAAATCGATTTTTTGCAAATTTTTCTGGGAGGTCCCCTTACAAAATTGTAAAAAAAATTGTGTAGCGAAGGCCATATCTTTGCCAATATTCACCCGATGCCAATATTCATTCCATTGCGGAGTACCTCAAACGATTTGTAGGACTATTTCCCACGAAACTGCATCAAAATCTAACAACAAATTTTCAAATCGATTTTTTGAAAATTTTTCCAGGGGGTCCCCTTCAAAAAATGTGAAAATGCATGGTTGAACATTTTGGCCCCAAGCGAAGGCCATATCTTTGCCAATATTGCTCCGATTCTTGAGCGGAATACCTTAAACGATTTGTAAATCTATTCTCCACCAATCTGCATCAAAATCCCACAACAAATTTTCAAATCGATTTTTTGAAAATTTTTCCAGGGGGTCCCCTTCAAAAAATGTGAAAATGCATGGTTGAACATTTTGGCCCCAAGCGAAGGCCATATCTTTGCCAATATTGCTCCGATTCTGGAGCGGAATACCTTAAGCGATTTGTAGTTTTATTCTCCACCAATCTGCATCAAAATGCCACAACAAATTTTTGGATCGATTTTTTTTCAATTTTTCCAGGGGGAAAAATTTAAAAAAATGTGAAAATGCATGGTTGTACATTTTGGCCCCAAGCGAAGGCCATATCTTTGCCAATATTCACCCGATTCCCTAGCCAAATACCTCAATCGATTTGTAGGACTATTTCCCACCAAACTGCATCAAAATCTTACAACAAATTTTCAAATCGATTTTTTGCAAATTTTTCTAGGGGGTGCCCTTTCAAAATTGTGAAAATGCTCGGGAACGACATTATGGCCCCATTGAAGGCCATATCTTTGCCAATATTTACCCGATTCCTTTGCGGAATACCTTTATGCTTATGAGGCGTTAAACTATGAAAAAGCGGCCAAGCTAGCAGTTAATGCTAAGGACTTTTGCAGGAAAGTGGTAGTCTGCCACCTGTTGCCACAAAAGGGGGCACGCAACGGCTGAGCCTGAGGTTCGTGATTTGCCGCCATAAACTTGGGGGAGTGTGTAGCGGGTCTGCCTCATGAGGATGCATAAAATTTCATTAGGCGTGTTAAGGCGCCATTTGGCGGGACACTCCCCCGGAGTCTATTTCCCCCACGATTAACAGTTGCCATCGGACATCGTTGGGAACACTTAGAGTGCTGCATAATTGAAGGCCAGAACCGCAACAGAAAGCGAATGCGAGTGCGATTGCGATTGCTGGCTGGCTGGGATTCAATTACATGGCCCATCGAGACCCAGCACGGTGAATGCTTAATTAAACTCTTCCATTAGTTGTTGAGCGAGTGCAGGGTGGCTAATTAGCACAGTGCAGGGGTGCACCTGCCAAAGTTAATGCGAAAAAGTGTAACATGCTTTCGGGCCCTGCTGCACTGAAATTACAAGCCATCATCGCGAGCAGTTCGTCTTTTGTGTTTCGCCTTCCCCGTCCCAGTCAGTCGATATATCAAGGAAATTGCAGCACAGCTGCCACCACAAGCCACAGCCACGCATGTGAAGGAGCTCAGGTAGGAGCCGGCAGCAAGGATAAGGACACGGATATGGGGTTGTATACTACAACGAATGCCAGCATCGAAGCAGCCAGGCAGCCAAGCCAAGGAAATGGTTTAGCACATTAAAATTCCACTTGCTTCGCCGCATATCAAATATGTCGGGTAAGCAGGCAGGCAGACAAGAATGTATAGACAAGGCTCCCGGGAGTGGGTTTAGCTCGTGATATTCTCCATATAGCCACCCACTTGCTATACATTCTTTGGATGCAGCAGTCTTGTGCGTATTTGTTGGGTATTGACATTTTTTTATGATATGCAAATTGAAATTTTATATTAGCAAGCGCACGTCTCGCAGGTGGCTAACCGACAGGAAAAAAAGGGGAAAAACTTATGAACGCAGCTTCCGACTTTGCCAGCCAGCGGCTAGTTATTTTGATTGGAATTATAGGTGCCTCCTCAGAGGCTCTTCATTTTCTTTCCCGGAAGCTTCTTGGCAAATAGTTAAGGCTTTAAGTTGTTTAAATACGGCTTAAAATAAAGAACACTTCCATAACTCAAAGTTATACAAAGAAAACAGTCTTTGCGGAAACTATAGTTAATCATTTTCAATAGTGTGTAGTCCTCTCTGAGGAAAATCAATTTCCACTTTTTATTTTCATAAAATTTCCATTCGTTTCCTTAACTCGTCTGCCAGTTTTCTGTCTTTTGAAATTCAGTGATGCCCTTGTCGAGAGTGCATCTAAACGTCGAAAAATAACCCCCAAGGTGGAGGATGGGGAACTGCCTGTGTGGACACTGGTCGGGATGCTGCCCACTTTTTATTGTGAATCCTAGCAAGCCATGCATGCATATGCCAAACATTCGTGGCATTATTATTTATGGTCAGCAAGGCGTAAACTTTGCATTGCCACTCGCCTCCGTTCAGTTTTCGATTTTTTCTCGATTTTTCTTCTTGTTTTTGAAAAAATTTGCTTTGAATTCTAATGCAGGACTCTGGGTCGAGTCACGTTCATATTGTATTGATTTTCATGCTTCGCGTCCACTGACGATAATTAAAAATTCATTTGGCCAGCTCCTGCTCCGGCTCCTGCTGCTGCTATTCCTGGCTGACTGAATGACTGGCCCCTTGAGGTATGCAACAAAAATGCATATAATTAAAATACATCCACAGGATGTGGGCCCACAAAGGGATGGCAGGAGGAAACAAAAACCCCTGGCAAATGACATTGGCCAACAATGCCGAGCAGCTAAATGTCCTTTTTCACTATATGTGGGTGAGTGTGTGTGTGTTGAGTAGAAAGAGAGAGAGAGAGAGAGGAAGAGAGGGAGATGGGTGTAGTAGGGGCGTGTCCTTGTTGCAGCTCGTAGCCTGTAGCTCGTAGCTCAGTGCTCGTTTTGCCTTTATGTCGATGAAATCCGCTCAGTTGCTTAATCTGCTACCAGACTGCTTCCGCTTTGGGTTTCATTAAGGCCCACAGGGGCCGAAACCACATTATCCTTGGCGATAGCCAACTTCCACAGCCCCACTCCTCCTCAACGAGCACTCTGTGTTGTTGGGTGAATTAAGGATCCCGCAAAACCCAGGGAGGTCCAGAGGAAACCGAGCTTCGTCCGAATTAGCATAACCAAACGTTGTAATGAGTCCTGTTTACTTGCCCATTTCCGGTGCGGTGCCAAGGCAGGACATCAGCCGAAGCCGGATGGAGCCGACCAACAATCCTCACTACCAAGCACGGAAAAAAATACGGAAGGCTAAATACATTTCAAGGACTTCGAAACTCTTAATTCTGTACATACTTTTTCAGATAAAGTAAGACAATAAAGTGGATATTTTTCACAGTGTATTCCCCCCTCGCACTCTCGCATACACACTCATCACACTCATTCGAAAGGTAAGCCCCCGGGGGCTTTCGAGTCCTGTGCCTTAGTTTCTAAGCTCACTCACTGCGGTGCGCCTTGTCCGTGGGATCCCGGCGCAGGATAATGCGCCGCTTAGATGCACAAATCGGCCCCGAATCAACGTCGTGTATGACGATCCGAATGGCCTCGCCATCCATTGAGGTTTGGCGCCGTGGCGCCTCCAAATCCTCCAGATTGGGGCCCGTGAACGAGGCCATAGGCGGCGGAATAGAAGCGACGGGGGCCGCCGGCAGAGCACCGCGATTCTGCAGCATGGCAATGTCGGGCCTATGGAAAAGGATAATTGAAGGAATTGTTAGAAAATCGGTATAAATAATAGGCAATTTAAATTTTCTTAAATGCCCAATTTAATTTAATTTATCTCAAAGGATTATTTAATTATTTTAATCAGCCCCACTTTATTGTTTCATCAAAAACACAAAAAAATCCTGAAACTCACAGCTGCGATCCACGTCGTCGCATCCTTCGGTCCTCGTCGACGGTCAGCACAGGGCTTCCTTTGTCCGGCGATCCCGGCGAGTCATCATTCTGTATATCCTCCGAGGGGTGTGGCACCCGGAAGGACGGTCTCCGTGAGCCCGGCAGCTGGATAGGTGGCATGATGCCGCCCTCCCCTGGCGACCTTTGCATCTGGGTAGCTGGTGCCGCTCCTCCGGCCTGCATCAGTCCGGGGGCGAACACATCATAGGCGGATTTTCTAATAAAAGTGGCACGAAGCATTAAAGGGGGTCTTTTAGATTTTTCCGGAGGACTTACCTGCGTGGCATAGACGGAATGCCCAGACCCGCTCCATCCGCCCCCAAGCCCAGCGCCGGGCCTCCGCCGCCCATGCTACCGCTAACCGGTCCCGTCTTCATGTCGTCGTCGTAGCTGTGCTGCCGCGCCACGCGGGATCCACGGCGCGACTGCATCCGGGAGAGTGGCGCTCCAAAAGGCGGCTCATGGCCATCGCCCCGAGGCGGGCTGTTGGAGCGGCTGGGCGCCATGCTGCGGCCGCCCTTCAGTTGCTGGAAATAGGTTAGAAAAAAGATTAAATAACAACTGGCACGACATGTGGGCTTCAAAAACACCTGTGTGTTAACAAATATATTAAAGAAAACTCACCCTTTCCAACTCCTTGAGCGATGCAGGCGATACATCCGAATGCCGCCGCAGTTCGGGGCTCCGCGGGGGTGCCAGAGCGGCTCCATTACTGGGGGCAAGGGTCTGGGTGCTGCTGCCCAGCTTGGCATCCGAGTGGCGTCGCTGCAGCGCCTCCAGCACCGGAACGTCCAGCATCGAGTCCGTCGAGTCCTGCGGAATGCAGACCCGCGAGGCCATTTTCCGCCGGCACACGCTGCACCGCCACATGGTCTGGAACGGCGAGAAAATCAATTTTCATCACTGTGGCATCAACAGGAGTGCGCCGCGTTAATTAAAAATGCCAGCTAAGCGCAGAGGTCTATTTGTGGCCACCGCCCAGCGGGCTAGTATTTGTTACGGGCCGTGAAGAAAGATGGAGAAAAGCCATTATGGTGGCCAGTTGCGGGCAGCGAAAATAAATATTAATTACTTTCGCAACAAAACTTTTCGCCCAGCACGTTGCGGAAATTCTATTTCCAGGAAATGATGGGTCCGAGGAAATGGCGAAACCCCTTTATAGCTCACGCGGCTTTGGGGCACAGGTGAGCATGCAACCGGCAACCTGCATCCTAGGATACTTCCAGTGGCAGCTCTACCTTTTCCTTTTTCCGCGGCACGCCCGCACAACGCTCGTTACATTTCCAACCGACTGCTGATTCATTTTGCCCGGCGGCTTCAATCGTCATGTGTGTCACCAACGTCCTTTTTTTTTTTGCTCCACCTATTCTAGCCAGTTCCCTTCTTGCCATGCCAGGGTTCTGCCATGGCGGAAGCTGCCGCCATTGTAATTAAGTCGAGGCACTGAAGGAAAACTATCTAGTCTTCAGGGCTTTATGGACCTGCCTGTCTTTAAGGATAGATTTCAAGCTATAGCTTGTTATTTCTATTTTTCTGCCTAATGGAATTGCTTTCCACTATTGTTTTTCCCAGTGTAGCTGTGTACTGTGCACCGCAGCTGCAACTAGAGCCCGGCTTTGGTTTATTGCCTCTGTGCTCCCCAGTTGCGTGCTCTGTAATTACATAGTTCGGCTGAAAGTGTGTGCGATGCAGCTGCCAGTCCATGATCCCATCGAGAAATCGACTGAAAAGTTATTTCCAAGCTGCCACACGTAGCTGCCACGTCAGTGGACCTGCAGCACGCTCATGAAAATTTAAGATTTATTTTCCTTGCTGGAAAATCGATTTGGAGACTCGGAGCTTAGCTCTAAGCCAGAAAACAAAGGCTAGGAGTCTCTTCTTTTAGTGGCTTATTAACCAAAGCTGAAGCTGAATGTGCAACAGAGTCCTTGATGTCCTGTGTGGTGAGCTCTAAATGATTATTGCGACTGCAGAAGCCCCCGAATGCCCGGTGATGAGACCGCAACGCAACACCCTCTGCCAGGCCCATAATTACCGTGGGCGGGTATAACAGGTTGTGGGTCTTTTATGAGTGTGTGTGTGGTGTGTGTGAGTCAGTGGGTGGGTTGTGTGTACTGGGTGTTGTAGTCAACGCCCATGAACATCAATTTCAATTAGCCAAAGTGGCCAGGTTGACAGACAAACGTTAAATTTTATGTTCAGGGCGTTGGCAGGCTTCTTGACAAATTACCACAACTTCGGGTGAAGACAATGTTGCTGTTGATGTTTCGTCTGTTGTTGCTGTTGCCATTGTTGTTCATATTCCTCATGTTGTTGCTATTGCCTTTTGGCCTATCAATGATCATTATGCGGCTTGGTGTTGATAGATGCGCGTTGGCGGCGATGCTTGCAACTGATTCCCCAGGGACAAGGATGCCATTTAATCTCGTTAATTCGTCCTTTATCCTATTAATGCCCCGCAGCGAATAGGCCACAGTCGTGCCATTGTCAAAGCTCACCCTATTCCCGAAGCTCCTCTAATCTAATTTGTGTGTGCACTGACCCACTGCACCCCTGGTGGTTCTAAAATAAAGGATATTTCAAAACAAAGCGAGGACTCCCATATTTGCAAGCCTTTAAAAATCATAAAGTGAAAGTTGAATATTTCAAAACTTTGATATACTTTTTCTCTTAAGATTTTCCTAAAAAGTTTTAATTTTATGCTGCCACAAATAGCTCTCCCTCTGCAGGACACTGGACAAACAGGACTCCCTTTCCCTGGCTCATATTTTCTCATTAATTAAGTGCTGCCTGCAATGTTCTGTTTGTGTTCATTTCTGCCACGCGACCATGCTACATTGCCTAGTGGCCTGGAAGGGGCGACTGCATCCTCCAACCTGCCACAACTTACCGCATCCTCGTGCTCGTCCAGCTTACTGTAGCTGGCACAGTCCTCGCACACTCGCTGCTGGCACTCGAAGCACGTCTTGTGGTAGTCGTCCGGCTTGAAGGACTTCAGGCACACCCGGCAGGCTCCGGCCCTTCGTCCTGGCTCCTGCTTGGCCGCCGTACCGCCTCCGCCCCCGGCTGCTGTTGCCGTCGTGCCACTGTTGTTGTTGTTGTTGAGGGTGCCGCCTGCTGCCGAGTCCTGCTGTTGCTGCTGATAGCTGGGCGAGCCGTAACTGCCGCTGGTGTCCGCATCCGTCGGAACCAGCGAGGGGCGTGGCGACATTTTATTAACTTTGAAAAGAGAAAGGGAGAAAGGACACGCTGTTCAGTAGAGTCATGTAATCAATTACGAGGAGGAGGTGACCCGCTACGCCGAACCGAATGAAAAACTTGTTGATTTTCCGCTGATTGCATTCACTGACCTTAATGATTTAAAGCCAAAGTCCCCACTCAGTTTGTTGTCGGGCCACATAATTTGTTTGGCTTACTAATTGCCAGAACGACAGGTGGCAAATAAATTAGATACAGCCCGAAACAAGATGGCCTTCGAAATTTGTCAAAGGATGGCCACAAGAAATGCAAGATTCTGCCAAATTTTAAACACTTCTGAGATATCTATCGCTGCAAAGTGAATTAAATTCTCCAAAAACTAGGTTTGTGCGAATAAAACCTAAATTGAACTTGGCATGAAGTGAATTATTTGCCGGAGATTCTATTTATTTAAATCAAAGTGTCAGGATTTATTTTGCTTGCACTTTTGAGAATTTTATTCCAGACTTTGTGATAAAGAGAAAAGCCTTTTTCCCCTGCATGCTGCATGCATTTTTATGATTATGTGTTATGTGTTCCCCTTGAGAAAATAGAGAAAAGTTTTCTGTGGCCCGGAAAAAGTCGCGGTGCATTAGTCACAGTCAGGTTGCAAGGACAAAGCCAGGCATCGCTCATACGCACAGTTGCACCTTGTGCCCTCACCTTTTGGCAACTCGCGCTTGACATTTTCAGCCGTAAAAGTGGCAAAGCAAATATGAAACAATAAGCGCGGCCAAGTGCGCTGGCAAAACTTTTATGCTTTTTGTTTTCTACTACATATATCCTAGTAGAATATATGGTGGTGTGTAGTAGAATATATAAAAATTCCAACTGCTCTGGGGAGCACTCAGCTATCACAAAGAGGTCGAAAAACACACGAAAGTATTCTCAACTTTTTGCGCTCTTAAATTATGTGTCAGCCCCTGACATTTCGGGACTTTGGCGCAAAAAGTGTCTGTGGTTGGCCGCAGAAATCTACAGGACCCTTCAGGTGAGACACGGCAGCCTCGATTATCCGCAATTACCAAGTTGGAAGGTCCTGCCGCACAAGTGGCACAATATTTGCCAGAAAATTATGGCGAGCAAACAACCGAAAACCTTAGATCTGTCCTGTTTTACGACCAGGGCTAAATAAACATCGGCAAATAAGATTTGGCTTTCAGTTCTAATAAATCGGGTGGCAGTGCAATAAAATCAACGAGCCACAGCTTTCGCTTAGCTGGTGGCCAACTAAAATGCGATAAAAATAACACAAAAGTCAACACAAGATTTTCATGTTGTTCCAGCCACTATATAAACTGAAACAGAAGCTGCCGTTTTATTGACATTCGGTTTGGGTTTTGGTGGTTTGGGGATCGCTTCCTGCGTGGATGGAGGACGTTTATGGACGCCATAACAATGTGACACTGCGAGTGCCGATGGCTGTGGTAATGGTGCATCATCGCCGGATGGCAGGAAGCAGTGACCCCTTTGAATAATTCAATCTGCGATGCGATGTGCGATGCAAACGGGCGTAAGCAGAAAATATTGCGTATACGCGCCGTTAACCCTGCTCATACATATCTCATTCCCGGGACTCAGACCATTCCGGCATTGACTTTCCTCAGCCAAAGTTTGCACAAAGTTTAGGACGCACTTGCATAAGTCAGGGTAAAATTCATGCCGTAAATTCGCATGCAAGGATAGCTTAAGGATAACCCAGGGATAACTGCACTTACACTAACACTTACCTTTGTCTGTGACCGTGAGCAGCGACGAGGACAGCGTAGCCTTCATCTTGTTCAAGGCACCCGTGTTGGAGGCCCCTGCCCCCGAGTCCGTTGCATGCTGCTGCCCTCCGGTGGTCTGTTCATCGGTGGCCACCATCTGTCGAGCGAAACCAGGAGGAAGAACAAGGATAAGGTGAGAAAAAGGATAAGTATTGGCGTATCGGGCTGCAAGCATGATTTGCGGCAGCCCTAAATGTTTATTCGGTTCTTGGCTGGCGGTGAACGTAAAAAAGTTTAAAAAAAAAACCAACGAAACGATGAGATTATTGGCCAAATTGAAGGGAGGAGCTCTTACCACGTTTTCATCAGCTGAAAGTCTTATGCAACTGTTGAGCTTAGTTTACACAAGGTCTTGCATAATAAACCAGGACATGATGTTTCTTTTTGCATGCCTTGTATTTTGTATTTTAAAGCTTAATTTTTGTTCTTTATAGAGATGGTTTTTCTGTAATCAGTGTGGTATATACGGACAAAATAATTTCCCCGAATCATTTTCAAATTATCCAGGTGAACTAAACTAGATGATCTTAGCAGAAAATTGTTTTTCCCGGGGAGTATGGTTATTATCTTGCCGCCTTACGGATTCCCGGATTTTTTTTTGATTCTCGTATTTTTGCTATTTTTTTTTGTGCCCAGTCATTGGGGGCACGCAGGTGAAAGTAACACGTTGCGTTTTATTTGATTTTTTCCTGGAATTTGGCACGGTGTAGGCGTCTCTGCTGGAAGCGCAACAAATTGCCAAGAAATCGTAAAGTGTGGCAAGTAATTTTTGATTAAACAGAGGCAGGACTAAGGGCAGAATCCTCTGAAGCTGCTTTCAAAAATTGCCGTCATTCTTTTTAATGCACAGGACTGGGGGATTCACCAGGCTCAACTGTGTATCTGTGTGTCTAGCTGAGAGTGTGTGTGTGTGTTTCAGGGTAAAATAACAATTGGAGGCGACCAGCCGACCGACCAGCCGAGCCCCGAAAACATAAGTGCTGCTCTGCTCTGTCAGCATTTTATGAAGTGGAAATTTTCTATTTGCCAAAGCGCCAACGAAACCGGAACAAACAGCAGCATACTTGGCTGCACAGGGAGAAATTTGTAGGCATTAATAATTGTAAGGATTCTACAAAAAATTTATCAGGAAGTTAGAAATACTTATTTGATGAAAAAAGTTCTTAAAAACTTAGTCCTAAGTCCTAATTTTATGAAAACATTCGCTTCTAGTTCTTTTCTAGTAGAGTTCCAGTTAAGGAAAGATCCTTTATTTATTTATTATTCATATTCTAAGCTCTTTACCCCCTATTTCTCTCAGTGCTTAGTCTTATAGTGGTTCTATCTTACTCACACAGCACAAATTACACTAAGTGCTTTCGGCTGCAGCGTTTTTGGCGGCCTACCTTTGGGATGTAGTACCCCTACTAGGGCCTAGACTAGGGAACCCTAGGGGCTTAGGAGCGGGAAAAGGTTGCTGGGGGGGCTGAGGTGGAAGCAGGACCCAACTCAGCCGCGAACTAAGCGGCATCTAGTGTCAGATTATGGCCGCTTTGTGCTCAGAGCCCGGGCTACATTTTTGATGATGTCATTTGATGTCGGCTTGGTAATATTCATGCTGCGGATTTATGTTCTACCCGGGTAGCCTCTGAACCCTGCTTATTTTTCCTGCTGGCTTGGCCCATGAAATCTTAGTGTAATGTATAGTTGTTTGTTTTGGCGGCCATGTTTCAGGTGCGAGCATCGCATCCTGCCGGAACGCCCAGAAGCCTCGTTCAGGCCCGACCCATCTAATTTATGAGCTCAGGTGTCTGACGCCATTTTTCCAGTGCCGGGTAAACTACTCTGCATTCCTCCGGAGTCCGTAGCTCCTAGCCCCATGGCTCCTTTCGTCCCTGCCGCCTTCACAATTATTGCCGTGTTAATTTTGTCATTTATTATGAAGTTTTTTCTGGCATCGAGGCCTTATGGCCCGAAGCCGCAAATAGTTTCATGTTTAGTGTCGAAAATTATGTGTTGACGTTAAAGAGCGGCTGCTTCTGCCGCACAGCTCGTGTGGCAGCCACAACAATAATACGGCGCGCAATATGTGCGCCCTTTATGGCCGCAAAGTATGCCACATAAAACGGCAGTCAAGCTGGAGAAAGTGCTGGGGAGAAAGTTGGCGAAAGCATTGTCTGTCATGAATGAAGGCGTTTGCGTTTGCATTGTGGAAATCAATAGCAACTGAAATGGAAATGGAAGCAGTGAGCAAATAGTTTGCCACTTAAAACTTTCCCTTGAAGTTCATAACGAATGTCTACACTGGGAGAAATAGCTATTGTATAACTATAGAAATAACTATAAGAATATTTACTTTGAGATACCTGTTTATCTTTAATTAATGTGTCTTCTTTTAATTGTTGCATAAACATAAAACATTTTCATGGCTCTCCGAATGCTGTTTATGTGGCTTTTGGTCCCGGCACGTGCCTGTCATTAGACCCAGGGCCAGGATAATGTATCCTTGTGCCTGTTGCTTATGTCCCTGGCCTGCACCCGAGTGCAATAAAACACAGACAACTTGCAACCGACTCGGGACACGTGTGGTCAGCAGGATGTCGGCATGGTAGCAGGATGGCAGGATGGGTGGCCACAGGCGAGCCCACAGCTAGACTGCAACAACCGCAAGGAAATGTGTAACGAGCCAAGTGCTGAGCCCGGGCAGTTGCCAGTAGCAGCAACACTATTAAGAAAATTGCTGCAAATAAACTGCAGTTGCCTGTTTGGGCTTATCCTTTGATGTCCTGCGGTGAGGTCCTTTAGCATTTGTCGCCAAATACCCGGCCAAGTTGTTGGGCATTTGAATGCGCAAAGGGCCGAATAGAAAAAGTTTTTTGGCTCACATCCTTTTCCCCTAACAGATCCTAACAGACTTGCTAACGGACTGTCAACGGGCTCATCATTTTCTTGAGATGGGTTCGGTACTGTCTCTGGTCCAGACCAGGCTTTGATTTCGTGCTTCATTTGGTCTAATCAAACTTGGCAAAACTCTCCGTCTGGGCCGCTGGCAACACAAAAATCTCCAGCATTTAGTTTAGTTGGCTGGCATTTTGCCTTTGCCGTTGGTCCTTTGCATCCTTTTCGTTTTCAACTTGCTTTTTATTAACTTTGCAAAGAATTTTGTGCCAAACAAGAATTTCCAAGGAATTTACACTTTCTGGGTCCCTTTTTTGCTGTGTTGTTGTGTGTTATTTTTGGATCGACACCCCCACTGGCTCGTGTATAATTTTATTCCTTCCCGAAGAACAATTTCCGCATTATAAAAAGGACTCGCAGCCAGGTGCTCGGCAGGATAATTGAACCACTTCGATTGCCTCGACTTGCGTTTGCCCTTTTTTTTTTGTTTGGTTTTTTACGGATTTTTGATATTTTCGGGCCCATAAACAAAGAGAAAAATCAGTCAGGCGGCTAAAGCATTTAAAGGGCTTTTTAATTAAAAAGTTTTGTTTGTCTTCAATCTTTTCCCTTCCGCCCCCCCCTTTCCCGGAACCAGGTCCTGACCCTGCTTAAATGATTTGCTGGAATTGGGAGCCTTAACCTGCATCCGCCCTTTTGCAAATATGCATTGGAAAAATGGAAAGGCGTGGAAAATGCGAAAATTCTCTTATGGTTTTCGTTTCATTTCGGGTTTCAGTGTGTTCAGTGTGTTTTTGTTGAATTTCATTTGCTGCTCATTAAATTTTCAGGGCCACCGACTGGCAGGGAATAATTAAAAAATCACAAATGGCAAATGAAAATGAAATTAAGCATAAATTACGAGCTTCTGGCAGCGACAGAGCTCTGATTTATATATTCATTAATTAAAACCTGGATATGGATCGGTTCGTAATTCGAAATTCGAATCGAGGGCTGGCTGTCCACTTACCTTCTTCATGAATGTCATCACGTTGGTTGGCAACATTTTGACGGCTTTTTCTTATGGCTTTCAGGTTTTCCTTTCTGGATTGTTTCGAGTCCTTGCTCTGTGTTTGTTTAAAGTGCAATTAATCACGCATCCGCCTGGTGGGACGTTGCGTATACGTAGGGTGGGCTGGCTCTTACGCTTCTTCGGTCTACGTAAGCCGCTTTAAGTCATTTCGCTTTGAATCGTTTTTGGGTGCAGGATGCTGCAGGTGCTGCAGGTACTCAGTGTTCTGGCCATATTGTTGGCCATTTTTCATTGGCCGTGTAAACAGGCATTGACATCGGGATCGACCATTTACAATGCAGCTCTACATGTTGTCGTCTTTGTTTCCTCGAATTGATTTATGTCTCGCCTGTTGTGGGCTTAAGTCCTGGCGTTCTTTTTGGGCTTTTAATTAACTTTGGCCATAATTCACAAGCGGTATTATTGCCATTGCCGGCTGCAGCTGCTCGTCGGGCCAGAAACATGAAAATACAGAAAAGAGGCAGAAAATTATAATTAGTCATTTGCGTTTCTCGGGCCGTGTTGCACGCGTAACTTGGAGTGTAATGGGCCGACCGGCTTACACCGTACTTAGCTGGCTCCATAAATTTGCCTACGATAAGCATCAACAGTATTTGGCCCAAACAATGGCCCAAAAACCCAAACCCCCCAACCGGCCCAAATATCACACGCACATGACGTTCCGTCGCCGAAAAGTGGCGAAAGTTTATAAGGCGGAAATAATGTGTCGCCCGGCATGCGAAAGTGCTTTCCTGGCGATAAACTGACCTGTGTTATGGCAGGCACTGCTAAGTGGGTTTTTGGCACTCGCGAGGCCTTAAAGTCAAAGTCTGCATAGGAAAAAGTGGCTTAAAGGAACTTATAACCAATAAATTTAAAGCTAAACCCTAAGAGCGATAAAAAATTCTGGTAAACCCTTTAAAATCAGAAATAAATAATACCTAGTTTCAAGCTAAATATTTTTCTGAATTTTTTTGATTTCTAAACTAATACCAAACCCAATGAAAATAGGTTACAAAATCCTTCAAACAAGGACAACTTATCGGGCATTCACTGCAGCTCAGATGGGCAAAGGATTGGAGATTGAAACGGTATTGGGATTGGCAATCCTTGTCATCCTTGCTGCCGGCTTTGCCTTTCGCCTGGAAATGGAATTATTAAATGAAATGACCCACAAAGCAATTCAATTGTCGAGCTCTCTTCGCTCGATTTGCACTTGCAGCTGCATCGGTTTAAATGTCTATATATATGGACATATATATATATATACATATATATTCATGGCATTCTCAATTGTGTACTGTGGACTTAAAAACGAAGCCGAGGGACTCCGATCAAGTTTGAAGTTGTAAACTTTTGGCAAGTCATTGGCACAGAATGCAGTTATCCGACAAGGGTTTATTTTTTATGTGGCAGGCATTAGAAAAGTTCATAAAAAGTCATTCGAGCAGAGTTCGACGAGTGCTTTGTTGAGTGGCCGGATCCGGGATCTGAGATCCGGGATTCCAGTGTCCATGACATGGGGAATGTGTTTACCCCGAGTAATGAAATTCCCCGACTCGCTAAATGAGGGGCAAACTTTGAAATTGTATTTGGGGAAAAATGAAAATTAGTTGCCGCTTGAAACTGTCAAAATGCCAGCGACAGGACATGGCTGGCTGGATGGCTGGATGGCAGGATGGTTGCATTCCTCGCAGCGAAATCAGGACGAGTTGATTTTGGGAGGAAGATGTAAGGCAAAGTGTTACAAGTGTTTGCACGGAGACAGAAGGGGTCTGAGGGGGTTCTGACTGAGGGGGGTAAAGAGTGGGCGATGACGGGTTCCCTTTCGTGCTTACACAAGCTTAGCGCGCAAGGATGTGCTCATAAATTGTAACTTTCCGTTGCCGGCAACAAGCATGAAATCACATGAACACACACACCCCGAGCTCTCGGCTAGGAGAGGCATGAGTTGGCTGTTGGCAGGACGCGACAGGACGAGCCCGGCTGGCAAAGTTCCAGCCAATGCCGAAACTTGGGCTGCTGTAGTTGGCACACAGTTAATTAGCGCAAAATTGGAAGGAAGGATGGGGCGCTGGAGGAGGCTCCTTGCGGGCCTGAATGAGAATGAGCAGATTCCGAATCAAGCTCCGAGCCAAATCCTGTCAGCCAGCGGGAGTGCCTCCTTGTGCATGCTAATGAAACTGATCAGATTGCCATTAAAGGTCAGACACACTCTGACTCTGTATAAAAATAATACATGCATTAGGCTGGGTTTATCACAGAACAGGACACGATTTATCACAGACCCGAGGACATCGGAAATGTCACGCACTGCCTAACGAGAATCTGAAACCGAAACGAAATTGAAAGAGTCCTGCAGAGGCCTATGTTAGTTCTGGCCCGGCAGGTCCTGCAATTTATTGTGACTCACGTCAGCAAGAGAGTGTCAAAGTGAATTGTTGTGCCAGGACGTGTACGGGCCACAAATTAAGAGTCCAAAGTCCCCGCCAAAGCAATTGCTTTCCAGCCAAATGAAGCGCAACAGTGTCCCGAGCATCAGGTCCAATTGCAGTTGAAAAATCGCAGCGCATTTCATAAATAAACCGGAGGAAAGGGATTCACAGGACAGGCAGCAGGATGCTGGGCAACCGACCTCATGAATACCATGAATGAACCGTTGTCAACAAAGCCAGGCGATGGGGGACTTCCCCGCCAACGGGCAGGACCTCCCTGGGCTCTGGCTCTTGCTCTGGTTCTGGTTCTGGCCTTGTTAACTCACGCCCTCCTGCTGCAGCGGGACAGGAATTTGATGTTGGGAGTCGGCCAGCAAGGACTTGGTGCCAAGTCAATCATTCTGTTTCCCAAGCGATACTTGAAACTTTGAAGAATCATAGTTTATCGATCACGAGCAAAATTAATTTCCGTAGGCGAACAATGGAAAGTTTTGTGCGAAAACTTGTTAGTGAGTTTCAACTAGGACTAGAAAGAGGATTTATCTTCCTAGGCTTGCAAACTTTAAGGAGTGGCAGGAGTCTCCAATTCCATGATTTGGAAGTCTAGTTTTTGTCGCAGTGCCTCCATGACAGAGGACATTGTGGACCAAACAGGATTTTTAATGAACCTGCGACCGCGTTGGCGGACTGTTTACCCTTGGCCCTGCCCAGTAGCAAGTCACAAGTGGCAAAAGGAATGAGGCATGCGGCACGAGGCATGGGTCGTGAGGCATGGAGCATGCTGAATGGGGCACGCGGCATTGTCAACGCTGGCTAATTGACGGCGACGTGGCGACTACACGATCTTGCTGGCTTCTGGCCTGAGCCTCTGCTCAGTGCTCTGTGCATATCCTTGTCTATCCTGGCGTATCCTTGGAAAGGTTTAATTGCTGGAAATAAACCAAAGTGGCAAAGTGGCGGGCGAAGCAAATGCCGGCGTGTTGTGGGCTGGACGAACAGATTGCTGGCTGATTCTGATTCCGTTTAAGGATCTGGAAAGGCTGATGCCACACAGATGGCAGAGGCAGCATCAGACCCTCACAGTGACATACCCATTTCCATTTACAATTTCAGACCCAAAGCCCATAGAAAATTCACGGCACGTACGCTGCGAAATGAAATAAAACTACGCCCATCGAAACGAAACAAACAAAAGCTGGCAATCGTTTAAACTGCTGCCAAACTCAATTATTCAAATGGGTCGGTGGTGGAGCCTGAGGTCCTGGAGATGGGGGTGTGTGGCATAGCACATGTGCCTCGTCAAGTGGCACTCGCTTTGCGGTTGTTGTGCGCCGCCGATACTTGCAATTTGACATTTAATCAAACCGAATGCCACTCGAACTCAAACTCGAACTTCCATGCTCCGACATCTACATTCACATCCACTTTCACATCCACGCTATCAAGGACCGTTCTGCGGTCTGCACTTCAAGGATCCGCATCCTGCCAGTTGCCAGCTATTCCCAGCTATGGGTGCTATGGCAGCTTACCAGCCTGTTGCCTAAGCCAGAGCCTTGACTTTCATCTTAATTGAAATCGAATCAAAGTGTTTTCACTCACCGAAATGAAATTGTCTGGGGCACGCATTGTTCTGGTTTTTAGTTTAGTTGCTGCCACCAACTGTTGCCACCGACTAATGACCTGGCATTGTTCGGGCCCTGGTTTTACACTCAATTTGCTGGTATTGTGGCTTATTGTTTCATAAATTATTTATTACGGAATTTTATTTGCTTTACGTCTCTAACTGGAACTGTGTACACTTTGGTCCGAAAGCCCCAAGGATATGGCATGGTATGGCCTTTGTTTGGGGATATTTGATTATGAACTGGAACTGAAACCGAAACTGGGACACATAATACTCATTGAGAGAGTGCACAATGGGTGATGTAAACACTGGCTGATGGAATTGCGTGCGGCGACTGACAAAGCGATTTGGGCCACAGGATTATGGAAGCAATATTAGAAGGATCCCCGAAATGGCTCTGATTGTTCAAAGCTCTTGGCCAAAGAGACTTGAATGTGCGAATGCACTGCGTCACATACAATCAACATCAAACGGCAGGCGAGTGCTTGGCAAATATTACGTATACGCTTTGTATGCTGTTTACTATTAGGAGGAATTACGCATACGCCGCGTGTGCTCCAGACATGGCAAATTGGATAGGCCTGGACCAGGCATATATGTTCCAAATATAATTGCTTTTTCTCCGTGAAATAATACCAAGCCAGGCGGAGCAAATAGATCGACTTGATATGAGGAATCTACATGGCTGGTGCTCATTAACGCTTTGTAAAATGTGCAGCTCGACGACCATTTTCTTGCATGACAACACGCAACCGAGGCATGCCCCAGGGAGGGGCATGGTATCGTCGTATTTATGATGTCGCGCCGCAGCGGCAACTCATTAGGAATGCGCGAAATTTAACGCACTGTCTAGCTAAAAGGGGGGGATCAGGTTCGCAGGGGGATCGGCATTAAGGGGGAATGCGTAATTGTCGCCAATTTCGGATGGCAGCTTTGTCATAAAATCAGCCAGGCGAAAAGGGGAATACGGCTTAATTCCCCGCCATAAAGGGGCGTCACTTTTATGCACTCCCTGATTTATCTTTCCCTCCTGGGGTGGTAAGGCGGTTCAGTGCAAAAACTTAATATTAATTACGCACGGCTGGCATAGAAAATTAAATCAAATGGGAAACGAGAACAAAAGTGAAGAAGAGTCGCAACAAAAAACCGAATCCCATAATAACAAAAAACAGTATAACGTCAAAAAACCCGCAAAAAAAGGCTTAATGGCCGTTAAGCGATGGCGCGACCGAAAGGATTCCGGGGCTGGGGGCACCAGTGACCGCAATTAATTAACCACAAGGCGGAAAATGCCGCTGGCAATAAAAAATAATTATAATTATTTTCAGCAAGTGCTCGGATGAGAGATGAGAAGTTCGCTTAGGAGAAATCGTGTAAAATAGATATCAAGTGCTGGGGCATTTGGGCCCTAATTAAATGCGGCCCGATGATTTGAGCAGGGCAAAGGTTGAGCCTCCGACACCTCGACATTGCCCGTTAATTATTCAGGGCTAAGGCTAGGGCATATGCATGGAGGATGTACCAATGTCAATGTCAATGTCAGCCAACTAAACAAGCTATAACGATGGCGGGAACGACCTCATGAACTTTTGCAGCGCATCTAATGCGAATTCAATGTCGTCCTGCCAGGCTCGCGTTTGCTCTCCATCAGGCCATCTCTTCCCATACTGGTTAGTACTCCTTCAACTCGTCCTTGGCAAGGACGACCTCGTGCCTCGTCAGCTTCGCTATTCTGAAGCAAAGTCAATTAAAAACATGAGCGCATGAACTAAATAAATTGTCATAAATATGCAGAAGAGCTGGGGAGGCAGCGCAAAATTCATTTTGGAGCTTCAAGGATATTTTGGCTGGCAACCTGGATTTTCTTGGCCTTTTAAAACACTATTATGCATAATCAAGTCGTGTCGATATCGTACTTTGTCATCGCATCACAAGTCTGGCATTCCGCCTCGTCCTGACACACATAGCTTGACTTTGTGTCCTGCCCCCGAGGCGGTGGGTTTTCGTTCGAGGTATATTGTCGGTGTATACTATACAGTACTGTACTGTGTGGCTGTCCTGCTGTTGTCCTTGCATATCGCCCACATCGCAACATGTGTCTGGGCTGTCGCAGATGTCTGTCTGTCTGTCTGCGGTGGAGCTCGTGCGGCGCCTTCAGCTGTCTCCGGCCATTTTCCCAGCTCGTCCCATTTCCATATCCTTTCACCATTTACCAGTGCCATTCCGGCATTCTTCGCATGTGGCACAGTAGCGACTAAGCCGTGTAAATTGCATTTCATGTGCTTCAGCATACACGGAAAGAAACAGTCTAGTTAGGCCAGGGCTGACTTTAAAGTCACTGAATGGCACGCCCCATTAAACAAATACTGTTTCGATCAAAAGGTCATATGTCAAGCCACCGGGCAGACAAATATTTAATCCCCGCAATCGCACACAAGCCTAGAAAGCCCCGTCCTGTTGCATTTAAAGCTGCTGAAATATTCAGCACTTAGATTCATTAATTTGATTGCGATCTGAAAGCGATGCATTTTTCATACTTCCTGGCAAATTGGTTTTAATTTTCCCTCTGAAAAGTGAATGAAATGAGTTTGCAAATTGGCCAAATTCAGCAAGCTCGGATGGAACACTAATTATATGCGATTTCTGCAAAAAATACCAGGATTCAAGGCCGCGGGTCTGTGAGACTGTATAAAAATCAACATTGAATTTATGAGAAATGAAGGCCAAAGGATATACCATGGTGTGTGTAGGACGTGTAGCCCCAGTGACTTGGGAGCTCAATCATTTTTCATGATAATGTACCTAACATGCGTATTAATCACAAGGACCCGTGGGGGAGTGAGCTACAAACCGCAGGGATGGAATTCTGTTATTGAATCCTACGATTTAAATTGATCCGCAAAGCAATGGCAAAGCAATAATTGCTGTGGTTTACCGGCCACACAGGCAGACACTGCCGAAGGATGCGAAGATGCCGCCAGGAGGAGCCATCACTCGACCGCATATCCTTGCCGGGACTGCGGCGTGCCGCATGCGTTCTATATTGTTTGGGGCCCGGGCTCGATGTCTGGTTTTGCAACTCAAACCTAATCATCTGAGCACAGTAATCCCATCATTTATATAATGCCAGCATAGTGGGGAGCATACACTAAAAAAACCTGTTCTTAACTGAATTCCAACTCATATCCTTTAAGTCACGGATTTTTCTCTCACTGTAGAACGCCACACGACTACAAATAAAATTCGTAGGCCTCTCATCTGGCCATTGTGGCAACAAATTACCTGTGCGATTTGATTTCATTTCCGTTCGGCTGCCGCCGCCTTCATCTTGCTCCTCCCGTTCGACTCCAGATGTTACTCCTGCCTCTGTTCCAGATCCGTGGCCATAACCATCTCCGGCGCCATCTAAATCATCATCAGCCGAGTCGGCATCATGTTGCTCGATTTGCTCCGTTCGCCGGCAATGTGCATTCGGTTTTTTGGCTTTCGATTTGAAATTGTGCTGCCTGGCTGGAGTCCTGCAAAAGGATACGGTTCGGTGAGGTAGGAAGCGACTGGATGTGAGCATGGTATTAGACAGCTGTCGAATCCCAAATGTGGCGCATAAATCAAATGTTATATTCGATCGGGCGGAAACCTCTGCCAACCCACTTCCAACCGATACCCACTCTAGGCCTACACTGTCTGTTTCGAATTCATCAATTTCCATTGTTTAGAAATCAATCTTAGTTACAGATAATGCAATTTAAACAATAGCAAATTACTTTATGAATACAAAGCTACTAACATTAAAATTATCCCACAATTGTTTGAATAGAAAAGCCTATTCAATAAGCAGATTTTGTGTGAGCCAGGATTATCGCCCAAAAGTGTAAGCCTTTTTGAACTTGCACGGGAGAGCTCGTAATGTACTTATTACTTATTACCATTTATCGATTATGTTCGAGTGTACACAGAAAATACCTCTCTATTAATACTTTATCACAGCCTCTCGCACAGAGTACTAAGTACCTACTAAGCCCCCAAAGTGCAGGGCCCCACTGGAAAGGAAAGTATACTTCCATCATAAATTCGGCTGACTTGCAAACTTTTCGACTGCTGTGGCATTTGCGGCCCTGTTGTCGTAGACTCATGGCTGTATCTACACAGATATTTAGGTATATACTCTTAGGATATATTATATATATGTATATTATATAGAAATGTATTTGTAGCTGAAGCTGAAGCCTTCTTGCGGCTGTTGTCGTTACTCTCGTAATTATGAAAGTTGGCCAACTGGGCTGCGGTCGCGTCTCCCGGGCCCCTTGGGGCATACAACTTCTTGACAATGCCTTCAAGGCTTCGGCCTTCCCCTTTTCTCATTTTGCGCCTTCAACTATGCAACACACAATTGTATAGTCTACCCTGATATTTTTTGATGGGAGTGTGGCACGAACTAGAAGCTCTTAATTGGCTCAAAACTTCTATTTTTTTCTAATTGTTACATTTTGAACAAAATAACTATCACCTCTAAAGAATTTTTCTTTGTAAAACAACTCTAATAAGTGTACAAGTTTGCCGGAAATTGGAGGCTGGCTGTGGCAACATTTCGGGCCCAGGACATCCTCATTATGTTTAAGTGGCACATTCAGAATGCAGAATTTTCGGTGTGCGACCGAAAGTTTGCGACTTGGAGCTGTTGTTGAAAGTTTATTTAAATTAGTAAATGAGAAATGCCCAACAGCTAAGCCCGGCTAGCAAGGATTGTTAGTTAGTTGGTGGTTGTTGGCCGGAAGTTGTCAATGTCAGTGGCAGCACTTGTCCTTGGCAATCCGACGACAGCTCGACAGGATGGCAAAAAACAAGAGCATAAATTACACAAAGGCGGCAAGCGGCAGGAGGCGCTGAAGTCTCAAATCCAAGTCCAAGTCCATTTTCGACAGCATCAAAGTCACTCAAGCAGACGTTTTTTGGCCAAAGCCGAAAAACTTGGACCGAAAAGTATGCAAAAGCCTTGGTCCTGGCCGGAGCCGAATTATGAAGTACTGACAAATTTGTTCAAATTCGTCGGCCAGAAATTTCGTCAGCCAGCCAGACATCCCGTAGGTACGTGCTGGGATGTCCTGAAACTCGGCTATCACAGGCCACGTAGCCACTTCACTTCGATCTTGTGCTAAGTTGTTTTTGTTCAATCAACAACAAGGTCCTGGGACTAGCTATTGCCACCCATTGTTGCTGCCACCACCTCGCTGTCGCCCGCTTGTTTGTCTAAGCTCAGTGGAGTGTGCCACAGATATTTGCGCCCGATATGCGTCCAGGCATTTCGGGTTAAGGCCTGGCTCTCACTCTTGGCTCTTATAGTCCCAACTAGCAGTGCACTTGGAGAACTTGAGGCTCAAAGGATATTCACGCAAGACTATACTTTAATAATCACTTGTTTAGTTTGCAATAAACTCTTCCAAGGGACTTTTTTCCTCTTCAAGATAAAGCTAAAACTAAATTAACTTTCTCTAAGTGTAATCCCCTAGTGAGGACCAGTAACGGCTTATGCCTCAATGACTATATCACTCAATACCCAGAATATGACAAAGTGAGTACTTTGGGCTCGATGGAGCAATAACCCGGCCTGACTGGCAAACAAGCAGCGCCACGCCGTTCTGTCTAATGAGCCATCCTGGCTGCAGGATTCAGCTTCCTGTCGCCGGAAGAGCACCGGACACACGTGTGCCTTTGATTTGAATGCGACAAAAGAAATTAGTCCTACACATGTGGCATGGCACTTAATGGATTATGTTACTTGAAAGCAAAACTTTTACGCCCTGCCGATTCTACGCAAATATTATCTTATTTTCCTCGAAGTGGAATAATATTTTCACTGGCAATCAGATTTTATTTCTATTTTGTTCACAAACTTTTTGAGCCTCTGGAGACTTGCTCTGAATGGCTATTTGCAGGTGGACGAATCCCCCGGACAAAACAAAGTTTAATTCTCGGTATCTGAAACGAAAATTAACCCGACCTGACACTTTCAATGGCATAGAAAACTTATTTATTCTGCATATGGCAGCTGTGTTAATAAATTCCCAGAAATGGCCAAGACCACTGGGGAACGAGGCAAAGTTTATAATCCAATCATAAGTTATTAGCACCCACTCCCGGGCGACAGCAGGAAAAAGCTGGGCAAGCTGGGGAAACTGGGAGAGCCGGAAAAACGCATTCACTTGTGGCATGGATACTTTTTTTCCTCCTCCTCTATTTGGCGACGTATTTTTTTCCCCTTCCGAGCCAGTTCCACAAAAAAACTTGATTCATGACCCGATTTTTTCCATTCTATGCGACGGTCAGTGCTCAGTTGTATCCAACATTCAACGAGGCGTGTATCCCTTTTGGTCCTTTCGAGGTCCTTTATGTGGGCAGTGGGCAGAAATAGGAGATGGAGCTGGAGCTGAAGCTGCGGGCTGACGGCAAGTTTCACAAATGATTTCACATTTTTGCATAAATAAATGTCAAGTGTGCGCCGGAGCATGCTGAGAGTTGCTGACAGTTTTCTAATAAACCCGAGAGGAGGGAAAGAAAACAGGATAATCAGCGCGTAAGGAGCAACAAGTCCTTGCTGGAGTGTGGGCTACAGAGTGTGTGTGGGTCCACTTTAGCTTAGCAATAATAATAACCTTGGCTGCCATGATGCCTTCCATTTTTCAGAGGGTGTGTATTCGTATTTGTGTTTGTGTGGTTCTGTGTGGGTTTCTTTTTTTTTCAACATTTTTTTCTCTCATACTCGTATGAAAATGACAATTTCCATTGCCACTACAAAGGCCCTCCTCGACACTCGACACTCGCTGGGTGCTATGGTTATTTTAGGACTCCCCCGGCAACGGCAATTTTAATAATGTTTACTTAAGGCGTAGCCTTAGATCATCTTTCGCCTTTACACCGCCCTACCCTGCGTCCTAATATATGGAAAATATCATCAGGGTCGAAGAGTGGAAAATAAAGTGGCAAGTAGCCGGCTCGTGTGTGCGTGCAGTGGGGCAGGCCCAATGACAGCTGCTGCCACTCGGTGGCTTGTGGAATACATAGAAAAATGCCAGAAGCTTAATAGGAACTGGCCATAAGATGCAGCACGGAATTGCAGTGCCTGCACGACGTGGAAGAGTGACAATATCGAGCTGGAAACCTACGTGTCTCGGTCTCTTCTATCCGCACCCATTAGGGCCATAATTTATATTCCAAGGGACCATGCCAAAGGGCTGCCTTTATCCAAAAGTCACATTATCCCTTTGCCGGATCCCTTTGCAGCGTTAAAGCATTTATATAAATATCGTTTTAAGCTGCCACTAGCTGCAGCTGCTGCCTAATGAGCGGATTAAAGTTGCCTCCCCCCCAAAAAGGACCTTGTTTCCTGTTTCCTGGGACTACAAACATACATATACCTTTTCTGAGAATCCATGCTCTCTCTCAACAGTGTGGGATTTCCTAGAGAAATGCTAACGCAATCAAAATTCTATATTCCTCTCCTTGTGAGTCCAAAATCCAATATTCTCCGTTCCATCTTTGAAACAATTTCCAGAAAGCTTGTGCCAGGAATTCAGTAAACACTGCGTATACGTAATATTTGGGCTTCAAAGAGCCAAAGGAGCAAATACAAGAGGAAAACAAAGGAGCTTTGCAACTCACAAAAACATATTGCCATTCATGCGTTTATATTGAAAAATATTGATTTACCTGCTATCAAGGACAGCTGCTACTCGTTCGTAGGACCTTAGGATCCCGATTCATAAACGCAATAATCAATAGGGATTGTAGAGGACTTGGAGGGGCGTGGAGAGTCGTAACAGAGGACGGAAAAGGACCAGTGAGCACTCAACAAGTACAGGCTCATGCCACATCATTAACATTTGGCGGGGCTCTCAGTGTCAAGGCAACGTGACTTCTGCCGGATGCTTATAAATACCCGCACATATACGCTTTATATATATCCTTCCTTTGTATCTCTAAGGTCACGAGGACTAGACATGAGAGCAGCTCACCTCAAGTATTTAGTTCTTAAAGTAGACTTTGACTTTAAGCCCTACACTCTTTAAAGTTTAAATAAAATCTGGCACAGCTTTGGTATAGATATTTTTGGAAATGCTAATAACTCACTCGAAATGTGTGGGCTTCCTTGGGAGTCCCGCCACACTTCCCACACATTTCTGACTTAATAAGTTGACAGGAGCCGTCAATCAGTGTCTGACATCCACCTACGCGGATGTGTTGCCTCTGCTTCCTGCCGCCTCAGTTGACAGCTCATTTAAAAATCATTGTTTGAGCTGGCAACTGTATCTTTAATTAGCCCAAGGACCTCCTTGATGGCTGGTGAAACGAGGAGCTTAGAGCAGATTTCATTGCCTGGCACATGTTAAATGCAAATGTCTCATAAAATCTACCAACTAATGTGCCCCTCGGACCGAGACTTCCGCCTGTTGCTGCTCCGGGTGGTTGGATGGTTGGTAGTTGGTAGGGTGGTTAGGTTAGGTGGTGCTGCGAATGCGGTTCA